AAATACACAGAAGAGAAAAAAGAAAAAAAAAACTTCTGTATAGTAAAGAAAACAATCATCAAAGTGAAGATACAACCTACGGAATGGGAGAAAAGTTTTGCAAACTACCCATCTGACAATGGATTAACAACCAGAATACAGAAGGAACTCAAACAACTCAATAATAATAAAATAAATAATCTGATTTTTAAATGGGCAAGAAATCTTGATAGACATTCCTCAAGAGAAGACATACAAATGGCCAACAGGTATATGAAAAAATGTCCAACATCACTAATCATCAGGGAAATGCAAATCAAAACCACAATAAGATATCATCTCACCTCAGTTAATGGCTTTCAACAAAAAAGACAAAAAATAATAAATGTGAGCAAGAATGTGGTGAAAGAAGAATGCTTATAGATTGTTGGTGGGAATGTAAATTAGTACAGCTACTATGGAAAACAGTATGGAATTTCCTCAAAAAACTAAAAGTAGAACTTCCATATGATTCAGGAATCTCACTGTTTGATGTATATCCAAAAGAAAGGAAATTAGTCTATTGAAGAAATGTTGGCACTGCCACATTCATTGCAGCACTATTCACAATAGTGAATAGAATAGACATGGAATCAACATAAATGTCCATCAATGGATGAATGGATAAAGAAAATGTGGTTCATATACACAATGGAGTAATATTCAGACACAAAAGGAATGAAATCCTGTCATTTGCAGCAACATGGATGCAAATAGAGGTCATTATATTAAATGAAATAAACCAGGCACAGAAAGACAAACACAGCATATTCTCACTCATTTGTGGAGCTAAAACAATGGATTTCATGGGGATAGAGAGGTGATTTGTGGTTAACAGAGGCTGGGAAGGTGGGGATGAAGAGATGTTGGTTAATGGGTACAAAAATACAGTTAGAAGAAATGAGATCTAGTACAGTCGGGAGACTATAGGTAAGCAATAATGTATTGTATAGTTCAAAATAGCTAGAAAAGGAGAATTGGAATGTTCCCAACATTAAGAAAAGATAAATATTTGAGGTGATGGACATCCCAATTACCTTGATTTGAGTGTTATACACATTGTATACATGTATCAAAATATCACATGAATCCCCCAAAATATGTGCAAATATTATGTATCAATAAACATTTCTTAAATAAAAATAATTTTTTAAAAAACAAAATGTTGAGGGAGTAGTAAAAGTGCAGAGTTCTTTTCTGTGATTGAAGTTAAACCATCAGCTTAAAATAGCTGGTTACAAGATATTTTATGTAAGCCTTAGGTACGGAATTGGGAGAGACACACGAAGCCTCATGTGTAGCAAAATGCTGTTTATTTTGAGCCTCCAGGTGCAGATGGGTGGAGGCGAAAAAGCATCCACATGGAGGGAGAGGAAAGCCTTGGGTTTTATAGAGGGTTTTTGGGGTAAGTGGGCCAGAACAGCTGCTTGTAATAAATTCTTTTTCAAACAACTGGCTCCTAGAACCCCTGCCCCGGAAGCCTTGTGATGACCACAAACAAAAACCTATAGTAAATACACAGAAGATGAAAAGAAATCAAAGCACATCACTACAGAAAATTATCTAATCACAAAGGAAGACAGCAAGAGAGGAAGAAAGAAACAAAGGATCTGCAAAACAACCATATAACAAAACTCAGCAGTGTTTTAAACCCTGCCTATTCCAAAGAAAGGACTGGCCCTTGACAGCTCCCAGGAGATAACCTCTGAGCTCTTGAAACATCTCGCCTGAAAAGAATGTCTTTGTATACGCAGAGCCTTGGGCCATGCCAGGCAGTTTACCAATAATGTGATTTATAGTAGGTCCTTGGGCTGGGCTGTGTCAGTTTGCCCTCTGGAGGGGCTGGAGACTGAATAACTAAGGTCACTACACCAGCATCCCATGCCTCTAAGACAAACTACAACAACTCTGGAGCTTCCCTAGTTGTCAGTACTTCATACGCATTGTGACACATCATTGCTGGGAGAATTAAACGCTGCCTGTACAACAACTGGGAGAAGACAAACGGAAGCTCAGCGTGCTGTCTTCTGGACACCACACTAAGCACCTTTGTCTTTGGTTGATTGATAGGTATCCTTTCACTGTATAATAAACTGTAAGCATGAGTATAACTGTAGGGAAGTAGTTGAGGCAGGCCCATGAGGAGATCAGCTGCTTCTCCCTGTGGAGCCAAGTCCCTAAGATAGGGGTTGCCACAGAGAATAAGGAAATTGATAGGAAATAGAACAAAAGAATACACAGAGACTAAGGTACAGTTTATAGTTTTATATAAAAAGTTCAGATATAGCAGCAGGGTTACTCAAGAGACTGGGCATATCCCCATGAACGACCAGCAATACAGTTAGATTATACAGGTTTTTATAATCACAGACATCAATTACCAGTTGTCAGGGTGACAGATTTGCATATCAGGGAATGCAGTTGCTAGCGGATACAGATAGTGGGTTGGGGTCAAAAGTCCTCTCAAAGGGCTTCTATTCTATCTAGGTGAACAAACAGGTACAAAGTCTTTCAGGGGCTGACTTCTAAGTTCTAATAGGTAGTTGTCAATTAGCAAAGGTATAACAAAAGAGGTATAGTGTCTCTATATTTCTTTGATTAGTTATGGGGGACTTAAAGGTAGACAGACAGGAGAGAGCAGGAAGCCCATCTCTATAAAACAGGTTGTTTATAACCACCGGGGCGCTTCTCTGGGCAAAGTGCACTCAATGTCTCCGGCTCCCATCCTGTGGGCCATATTTGCCTTGTCTTGTCTTTCAAGACACAGGGAAGCTCACAGATTTTGAGATACTGGAAAGCCTTTCTGGAAAACATCCCCACTGGAGATTTGAGAGCTCTCCCATGATAGCAGCCTCTAATAAGTGAACCATTGAATTCACATATTCCTTCAGGGCAAACCCCTGCAAACTCCTGTTTCTGCCTTTAATATAGCAATATAGAGCAATACAATAAAATAATGGTCTTATGAGCCACATCTCATTAATTCCTCAATCATATTTTCCTGACATATGACAGTTCCTGCATTCTGTGAGTCTTTCTAGCAAATCATTGACCCTGAAATTGATCTTGGGTAACCTCTGACACATTAGGAAATAGTATTGTATCAATGTTAATTTCTTGGTTTCAAAGTTGTACCATATAAGATATTAACATCAGAGGAAGCTGAGTGAAGGGTATACAAGAACTTTGCAACTTTTTGAAAGTTGAAAGTTATTTCAAAATAAGAAGTTAAAAAAACAAGGAGATGTGATGATAATTGTTAAAGCAAGGTGTTAGGTACATGTGGGTTCATTATATTTTTTTTCTCTACTTTTGTACAGGTTTGAAATTTTGCATAATTAAAAAAAACCTTTTTAAGCTATAGGATTCAATAGTTCAGTGCAACAAATCAAAATCATCACATCCAAAACACATAGAGCAGGGTCAGGCCCAAAGTTGGTGAAGAAACATTTTTTTTTTTTTTTTTTTGAGACAGAGTCTCGCTTTGTTGCCCAGGCTAGAGTGAGTGCCGTGGCGTCAGCCTAGCTCACAGCAACCTCAAACTCCTGGGCTCAAGCAATCCTCCTGCCTCAGCCTCCCAAGTAGCTGGGACTACAGGCATTCGCCACCATGCCCGGCTAATTTTTTGTATATATATTAGTTGGCCAATTAATTTCTTTCTATTTATAGTAGAGACGGGGTCTCGCTGTTGCTCAGGCTGGTTTCGAACTCCTGACCTCGAGCAATCCGCCCGCCTCGGCCTCCCAGAGAGCTAGGATTACAGGCGTGAGCCACCGCGCCCGGCCGGTGAAGAAACATTTTAAACATGGAGAATTTATTAAGATGTGGAAACTCGGGCAGAGAGAAAGTAAATAATTGCCCATGGTTAGTGAGAACAAAACTCCTTGGCAGAGGCCAGATTGGAAGCCAGAACTTTCAGTTCCAAACAGTGGGGTCAAGGCCACCTTGCTTGAAACCACCACCCTGCGTAGCCACTGTCCACAGCAACGGGGACTGCCAGGGTCCAGCCCCCCCCCATCTGAGCAGGACCTGCTAGGTGATAAGCCTCCAGGCTGTGCTACCACCTGTGTGTGCAGGAAGAGGTCCTGCCTCTTCCTGCAGACACAGGCTAGCCACCACCTTGGGGATACAGTGGGGAACAGCAAGGCCCCTTAGTGAGCAAAGACCCCATATCACAGATGGGGAGGCCTAGGCTCAGGAGGGAGGACACCTGCCCAGAGTCACCATTTCTCAGAAATCCTGCCAGGACAGGAGCCTCAGTCTCCTATTGGCCTGTGGATGTCTCCTCATTTCTTTCCCAGTCGTGCACAAGAGCCAGTCTTTGTTCTCAGAACCTGGTTGAAACCCCAGCTCTGTAATCTATTTACACTTATTAAAAGTGCAAACCTGAGCAAAGTGACACCCCCCTCCCCAGCTTGTTTCCTTACCTGTAAGGGGGGGCAGGCTGCATCCTACTTCCCAAGGCTGTTGTGCACGGAGGTGAGGGAGCCTTTAGGCCTCTCATCCCACTCTACGTGGCTTCCCTCTGGGTCCCACACAGCCCGCAGCCTGACACACGGCCGTGCCCCACACATTTGTCCAGGGAATGTCAGGGGATGCTAAGCATAAGGAAAGTCAAATTGTAAAGCAGAGACATGGGGAGAGAGGAAAATCATTCACCTTACAGAGCAATCCTTTTGCACAAAGACCACCTGATTTAAGTTCATGTGATGTTAACAGCTTGAGTCCCTGAAGGGCACAGGATGGAAGACCAGGAAAGGTGGCAAAGACAAGGACTTCACTTTGGAAACACAAATACAAGGAGTCTCAAAGGAAGCTCTGGCTTTGAGACGGAAGGGCTTCATCCTCATAGCAGTCCTCCCAGGGCAGCCCGGCACAGCGCAGCACGTGAGCTCGCCTGGTGGTGGGTGGCCCTTGGACTTCCACGTCCCAGGCCCCCGGTGGGAGGAGCGAAAGGCTGGGCACCCAGCCTGCCAGAGGCTTAGGTCTGCAGCCAGAGAGAGGCTGGCGGGGCCTGCAGTGCCAGCACAGGACAGAGGTGAGTCAGGAGAGCCATGCCCTGGGCAGGGAGGGACTGGGAGACCCCTGGGGACAGGCCGCCCAGGAATGGCCCCCAGCAGGGCTACTGACTGAGCACTGCTTCCTTCACTAGGCACCCAGTGAGCCAGGCCCTACACTAAGACTTAGGGCCACAGCATGGCTGAGACAGACAGAGGTCCCATCCCACTTCCAGTTTCTGTTTTAGTATGGGGGAGGCAGCAGTAAACAAAAATATAATAAATGAGTAAATTATCTCGGATCTTAGAAGGTGATTCATGAAAAGAAGTACAGCAACGTGAAGGAGACTGGGAATGCCTGGGGAGGGGCCTGGGATTTTAAAGAAGGTGGTCACTGAGAGGTGAGGTGACACTGAAGTGGGACACAGGGAGCGAAGGTGACATCTGAGGAAAGGGTGTTCTGAGGAGGCAGGGAGGCCTGGGGTGTTAGGGACTGTCAAGGAGGCAGGAGCAGGTGCAGTGGAGAGAGCAAGGGGGAGGGAAGAGGGGCAAGGAGAGAAGGTGGCGAGGTGGGGCCTGCAGGGCCCAGGGGCAGAGGGCGGTTCCTTGCCAGCATCACGCAGCACTGGCCTGCACAAGAATGCCACTTCTACATGTCTGCATGACCTCACAAAGTCTCCTCCCTCCCCAAGACCCATGTCCTCTTTATAAAATGGTAAGAACCATGGTGCATCGAGGGTTGAGGTGAGGAAAAAGGAAATCAAAAGAGTGGCAGATGGCCCAGAGGAGTGACAGCATGCTTCCTGCGAGCTAGAAACGCAGAGTGGGCTCCAGGTGCTCACTGCCTTGGGGGAGCGACATGCCAGTAAATATGTCCTTATCATTAATAGCACCCAGCGGGGGCAGTAAAGGGTGCGGAGTTCTCCTGGGATGCTGCCGTCAGGAGAGTGTCATGGAGGAGGGGTCCCTGGAAGCTGGGGCTCACTAGGAACACGGGGGCACTGAGCCGTGGCCAGAGAGAACTGCAGGGCGAAGGGTAGGAGGAGGGTGATCCCGGGATGGGGGGTGAGCTGACACGGGAGAGGGGCAGGTGGGCTCCGCCCCACAAACAGTGGGCACCAAGGAGACATCCCAAGCAGGGGAGGAAAACATGACCTGCAGTTCAAGAGTTCACTCTGGCAGCTGGGAGAACAGATAAGAGGGACGTGGAAGCCAGGCAAGAGATGACAGTGGCCTGAGTAGTAGCCAAGGAGATGGGCAGGAGCAGACAGATCTGAGACTGAAGCAGAAGGATGGATGGCACCTAGGGGCTGCCTCGCTGTGGCTGAGGAATTGCCAGGACAGAGGCTGCTCTGCCCTGGGGTCCAGGGGAACTCTTCCCAGACAGGGAGCAGGCTCCTTCCCTCAGCTATATGGCACCCCACAGGGCTCACGGAACCACAGTGGGGCTGCAGTGTGGACAAAGAATGTGCTTTGTGGTCAGACTCTTGGCCACCTCCAGCTGTGTGGCTCGAGGCCACTCGCTTAACCTTGCTGAGATTATTTCTTCATGTGTCACCTTCGTTGATCTGCATGAGGCTTTCCCCGGGCAGCGCGTGAGCAATGCCTGCAAACAGCGTCTGGCCCACAGCCGGTGCCACAGAGAGCGCAGCAGTGAAGCGGCACTCGGGCTTTTCCCCACCCAGCGGCCCCTGGCTGACACCTAGCCGGGCAGCGCCTCCACACACGGGCTCTTTGCACCGCCCGATGCTCAGAACAGCCCTTCGGAGCAGCCAGCCAAGAAGTGTCTCTCTCAGTTAGCAGGCAGATCCAGGCCAGGATGGGCAGCCCGATGCGCCGAGTGTCGCAGGAGGACACCTGGAGCGGGCAAGTGCATCCCGACATAGCCAGCGAGAGGCACGTGCAGTCCTTTGATGTGGAACGGCTCACCAACATCCTTGACAGAGGTGCCCAGAACACCGCGCGCCGGAGGAAAGTTGGTAAGGGGAGGCTGAGGAATAGAGCATCTGCTTTATGCCCCATGCTTTTCTTGGAGGGGAGTCCTTCATTAGCAGTCCTGCCTTCAAATAAACTTTGCCCTTGAAATTCCACTGTTAGAGATTCATTCCTTTGGACCGTAAAGGCACTCTTAACATGCCATTGTTCCCTGAGCTCATCTGAGGGACAGAGGAAACTGAGGCAGCAGAAGACCTGTATGCTGGTCTTAAAATTCTACCTTTGCATAGCTTTGTAACCTCAGGCAAGTCATTTTCCCACTCTGATCCTCAGTTGTCTTACCTGTAAAATGACAATAATGTCTGACTTCCTTTCCAGGTCCATGAAGCAAGTGAGTGGGAAGATTTGAAGGTCCCAGAAATCTCACCCAGGTCCCTAAGCCCTCTGTTCTCTGTCCCCTGCAGAGAGCATCATCCACAGTGACCCAGAGTTTAGCTGTAAGGATAATTATTTCATGACCCATAATGAGCGTTACGAGGCTGCTGTGAAGAAGGCATTCCACACCCAGATGCTAACACAGAGCCTGGGCTGGTCAGAAGAGGAATTAGTCTACGTTTACAGGTGCTGACTCCTGGGGCAGCCCCGCTATAGAGGAATCTACCTGGGATCACCTGGAACCTTCCTCCCACCCCAGGCCCATGAGTCTTTTTCCCCAACAAAGGCAGTGCTGGCTGGGAAAGGAGGATGCCAGGCCCCCTCTCTCCAGTGCTCTACCCAGGCTAGGGGTACCTGGGCCCCTGTCTGCTATAGGCTACTCAACCACAACATCTCTCCTCCACAGAGCGCTTTCTGGAGACACAGTGTTAGGTATGCACACAGGCTTCCTGAAAGCCCTCAGGAGCCTGGGCTCAGAGGAACAGATTGCCAAATGGGAGCCACTCTGCAAAACGTGCCGGATCATCGCAACATATGCCCAGACAGAGCTGGGACATGGTGAGTGCCGGCTGTCGCATGCAGTGTGTAGGTGTGTACTGCACAGCGCCAGAAGGGCCCATTCACATGTCAGTAGTCGTAGATTTATATATTTAATAGGAAAATTTCCAGTAGATGGCTGTCAAGGGTCTTTTCCTAATTTGTACAAATATTGTATGAGTTACCAGTGGGGCAAGTCATTCCTTCTGGAAACATCGGCATCCATCCCTTGTCATGGAGTGGCTACCGTGGATTGTGTGCCCCGCACACAGCCCTGCATGAATGGGGAGGAATGCCTGCAAGTGCAGCTGGGAGCTGACCCTTACTCCACGCCGGGCTGGTGCCTGGTTCCAGGGCCACCTAGAAGCTGCTTCCCAGGTAAGAACCCATCTAGGCCCAATGTCTAACTTCCCTACTTGATCCCAAGGGACATATCTTCAGGGCCTGGAGACTGAAGCTACCTATGATGCGACCACCCAGGAGTTTGTGATACACAGCCCCACGATAACTGCCACCAAATGGTGGCCTGGGAACCGTGAGTATCCTCCATCCCCTGCCTTGTCTCTCCCCAAGTAGAACAAAGTTGGAGGGCAGAATGGCACTAGCTTTGTCATTCAACAGACCTCGGATTGATTTCCTGTTCTAGGATGGTGGCCTTGAGCAAGTCATTTCCCCTCCCTGACCCTCAGGTTCTCACTGTAAAATAGTGAGTGGCTGGGAGGTCCCCAAGGGAACTTCGAAGTAGAGGACAAAACACAGCCAAATTTGGGGGGATGAGGGACAAGGCCACACACACACACACACACACACACACTGCCTCCGCACAGACACACATGCATGTACGCACACAACACTTGGCCTAGTCCCAGGCCCTCCCCACGACCCTCTTATCTCCGGAGCTAGTGACGCAGCTGCTGTCAGCCAGCGGGCCGGCCCGTGCCCACACCGCCAGTGAGGAAGGCACCCTCCCGCCCGCGCCCCACACACCCAGACAGGCTCGCTCTGCCACCAGCGCCTCCAGAGCCCTGCCCTACACCGCGCCTCCCCTGGTGGCCCCAGGTGGCGGCCACACCAAGCGTCCCAGAGGCTGAGTGATTTTTTTTCCAAGCCCCAAGGAGGGGTCCTTCCTCTGACTTGAGAGTTCACCTCTGAGGACTCATCTGTGGCGCTTGCAAACCCAGACGGTGGAATGCCTTGTGTGGAAAAAATTAAATAAAACAAATGTGAGGAGTCCAGCTAGAGCAGGGGAGAGAGGGGGCGGTAAGATACAGAAGCGGGTGACTGAGAGAGACAGAGAGGCAAGAGAAATGAGAGGGAGAGAGAGAGAGAGAGAGAGAAGAGAGAAATGAATCACCACTGTCAAAACTACAGAGAAAAGAAACCAGCCTTCAAGATCAGGCAGACCAGGGTTCAAATCCCAGCTCTGCCCCCTCCAGGCCGGTGACCTTCAGGGTGCCACTCCACTCTCTGAGTCTCAGTTTCCTTATCGGGAAAGTGGGACTCCTCGCTCCTGCCCTGTAAGAGCTGGAACGCACAGGGTCTGGCGCCAACTGGATTGTGATAAGTGCTAATTACCTGCATCCGTTACCATGAGGTTGATGACAGAGATTCATTAGTAGTTTGGGGGGCCAGAATCTCACTCATTTCAGTTGCCTTTGCCAAATCACTGCTAGGTCTGTTTGATTCTTTGAGGACAGTCCCCCGTCTCTGTGGCCAGTGACTTTTCAAGGCCCCATCAGTGACCCCAGCCCCAGGAGGCTGGCTTGGCAGACAGCGACGCACAGGTCGTCCTGTGATGGACCTCGCGTCTCTCTGCCCCTCAGTGGGACGGTCGGCTACGCATGCCCTGGTCCTGGCCCAGTTGACCTGCTCAGGAGCCCGGCGGGGCATGCACGCTTTCATTGTGCCCATCCGGAGCCTTCAGGACCACACCTCGCTGCCAGGTAAGCCCGTGCTGCTCCCTCAAGGACTCCTGCCCGGAGGAGACCTCCCAGGCTCCCTGTCTTGGGGCCTCAGAGGTCCACGGGAGAAGCTGAGGCACATCTCTCCCTTGGGCAGGGAGGGGTCCAGTTGGGCAGACTTGGTGCTAACTGGCTGGTGACCTTGAGCAAGAATCAGAATCTTCCTGACCTCAGCTTGCTCACCTGCAAAACAGGTGTGATAACACCAGCATCACAGGCTGCTGCGAGCTGGAATGCATGTGTGACACCTGGCACATAGATCATAGTGCTCAACTGATGGGTCTTCTCATCTCCATCTCCTAGGAATCACCGTTGGGGACATCGGGCCCAAGATGAACTTTGACGAATTGGACAATGGCTTCCTGCGACTGGACCATGTGCGAGTCCCAAGGGAGAACATGCTGAATCGCTTTGCTCAGGTCAGGAGCCTGGGGAGGCTGGGGACCCGTACTGCCTGGAGAAGGGACCTGTGTTCTGTGCAGACTGCTGCTGGCTCAGGGTCCTCCTCCATAGAGCCGAGTTTGGGCCACAAACCCCCACCCAAAGAGGTTCTGGTGTCCCATAGATTGGGGTCAAACCCCAGCTTAGGAGCACTGTTATCCTGGGCAAGTCATTTCATGTCTCTGAGCCTGAGACTTCTCATGTGTAAGTGCTCACAACATGGGATGGCAGAGCAATCGTGGGGCGTGGGGTTGGCAAGGCAATCCCAGGAGAGGGACGGGGCTGAGGTGATACGCATAGCATTTACTCACAGTGAGGCCTGGATACAACTAGTCACTGAGCAGATGCCAGCCAGAGTGCTGGCAGAGTTCTGAAGGTCCCAATACTGCCAGGCATTATCCCTTTAGTTGTGGATGATGAGGAGGTCTGGGGTGTCCCAGGAGGGGAGCTATGAACCAGGGCGCTTGGGGAACTGGCTAGTGAGCAGCGGGCACAGAAGTCTGGTGCTCTGACATCCCGCTGACAGCCACGTGGGCTCCAGGTGAGGCTGAGGGCGTGGCACCCACCAGCTGTGCAGGCCCACAGTTCTGGAGGCGGGGCAGGATGGGGGACTTGGCTCAGACCCTGAACCCATCCTTGTCCCACATAGGTCTTGTCAGACGGCACCTACATCAAGCGTGGGACAGAACAGAGCAACTACCTTTTCATGGTGGTGACGCGGGTGGAAATTCTGCTGGGAGAGATCCTCCCCCCGCTGCAGAAGGCCTGCGTCATCGCCATGCGCTACTCGGTCATACGCCGCCAATCCCGGCTCCGGCCCAGGCAAGGGGCGCCCAGAGGCTGAGCACAGCAGACCTGGTTACCTCTCAGTCCCTCCGTGCCCGCCCCCTGACACCACTGGGGTGCTGGAAGCAGGCATTTCCTCCCCCCCCCCACACTCCCCTCGGTGTCTGGCCCTATCGGGCTCTGTGTGATTGTGCCTTTGACCCTGTCTGAGTCCAACTCGCTCTGTACAGCTGCAGCGGAAAGAGTGAGTCTGGGTCAGCCAGGCTGTGACTGGCTGAGTTGGCTTTGTCAGGTCGTGTCTGGCAAAGCCCAACCATCGTATCAGACTGTACGTGGCAGAACTCATTCTGTCTGGCTTGACTTTGAGCATCTTCTGTGGTATGTCTAAGTCTGGGTGCCTTTTGTTGTGCTTGGTTGTGTCTGGCTACCACTCCCTCCACTCCCCGGCACAGAATAGCAAGGACCAACCGTAGCCTGTTTTAACCTATGCACATGCATGTGCACCCACACACACACAGAGTTTCCAAATATAGGACACTCAGCTAAATTTGAATTCAGGTAAACATTCCTGCCTTGCCCATGGCTCTTCTCAGTGCCTGCGACCATGTCCAGCACACAGGGGCCATGCGGTAACTGTGGATTGAAAGACGGTGTGATTATGAGAAGCCCCCACAGAGGGCAGGAACCTGGGGGCTCCTCTCGGGCAGCAGCTCCTTATCCAACACCTTATTCCAGGTAAACAACGAATGATGCTTTAGAATAAACATGTCCCAGTGGACACCCTCACACCCCTGCAGGATGCAGCAAACTGGAGTGAGAATAGGATTAGAGGGTCACAGCATGACCTAATTTGTAGTTCTGACAGTTCTCATCCCAGCTCTGATGACTGACCCTGGGCAAATCCTTTGCCCTCTCTGGGTCCCAGTTTTCTAACCTGTAAAGGGTAAGATCAGCGGGACTGGAACTTGAGAACATCCAGCCCGAGAGCCTGCGCTTCTCATGCCAGGGGGCTCGAGGGCCCGGAATGAGGCTGATGCAAGATGGACTCAAGGCTGGAAGCCAGGTAAGCCTGCTGCCTGGCTCAGCCACCTCACCTCGTTGTCCCTCAGCTTCCTCATCTACAAAATGGGTGTGGCAGGAGCAGCCTTTCAGGGTGGCATTGAGGGTGAAATGCAATAAGATGTACTGGGCCCTTGGCCCGGGGCCCTTCCTCTGGCAAACCTACACACCATCAAGCTGGGCTTCAGGATCCAGATGAGAGAGTCTTTCTGGAGGACAGGGCTGCGGGGAAGAAGGTGCTGCTCCTGTGTCCTGCTCGCAGCCCATTGCCTAGGTTGCAGAAGTGTTCCCAGGACAGTTACAAGAAGGACGTGTTGGATAAGGAGCTGCTGCCCCAGAGAGGAGCCCCCAGGTTCCTGCCCTCTGTGGGGGCTTCTCATAATCACACCGTCTTTCAATCCAGTTACCACATGGCCCCTGTGTGCTGGACACGGTCACAGGCACTGAGAATAGCCATGGGCAAGGCAGAGACCCAGTCCCTTCCCTGGGGTTCCACCAGGCCCGAGCTCACGTCCTAAGAGTTATTGTTGAGGCTTGACATATTTCTGAGTACATGGGCAGTGAAAGGTCACAGGGTCAAGTCATCAGAGGTGCAGGGCCACCACTCTTCACCTGAAATCCTTGGGACCAGATGTGTTGGAATTCAAAACTTTTCAGATATTAGGGTAATACAGTGTGTATGCTGGAATTCTGTAAACCTCCCTCCATGGGGGGCAGTGCCCATAGCAAAGATGTTGATATTTCTGCCATGAAACATGTGAATTGTCATGTTAGATGGGCTTTTAAGAGGTTATTAATAGCCTCATGTCATCTCAGGTCAAGTTTTGCAAAGAGTTTTACAGAACTGTCCGTCTTTAAGGCTTCTATGGTGTTGGGGATATGGGAGGATGGACATGGCAAGTAGTGATCTTCTAAATCTTCAGCTTCTTTTCCCCTCAGTGACCCAGAAGCAAAAATCCTGGACTACCAGACACAGCAGCACAAACTCTTTCCTCAGCTGGCCATGAGTTACGCCTTCCATTTCCTGGCCATCAGCATCTTGGAATTCTTCCAGCGCTCCTACAATGCCATTCTGGACAGAGACTTCAGCCTCCTGCCTGAGGTACCTGCTGTCTGCTGAGGGCAGGCGCTGGGGCGGTGGCTGAGGTTGCCCTAGTCACTGAGAAGCAGCCACGGCCCTGCTCCCTTGGGCCCTTCCCACCCCCCAGCCCCCTAACACCCCAGGGTGTCTGGGTGACAGACAAATTTACTCATACCTGGCCCCCAGAGAGCGCTACACAAATGTCACAGGAAATAATCTATAGAGAACACAGGTCCACAATCCCTGATGTACATCTGAAACCCCAAAAGTCCTGAAAACTGAAAGTTGTTTGATACTCATTTGCTGGCACCATTTGACCTGAACTGACCTGATTTATACCACAGAGTGTGAAGACATTTTGTAGCAGGATTATTAATCCTGCTTAGTGTTTAATCACTAAGGCTGCCCCAAACCCCACTGGGGATATCATATATAATATACCTTAAATGCCCACTTTACCTTTCTAAAATTTGAAAACTATTCTGATTCCTAAATATATCTGGCCCAGGGGTTTAAGGATAAAACACTATGGAATTACATATATGCTCAGATTCAGTCTGTCCAGGCACTGTGCTTTGTAAGCATTGCTTCATTAATCCTTCCAACTGTAGAGTAGGCACCATTTATATCCCCATTTTACAGATGAGGAAACAGAGGCACAGAGAGGTAAAGGGCCATGACCTTTCTCTCAAGGACCTGAAAGTTTGAAAGATGGGTAGAGGCTTTTGAGAACCAAAAACTCAAATCAGACCTGTTGCCTGGCAGCTCCTCTGTTGGGACCAATATAACAAAATACCATAAACTGGTAGCTTATAAACAATAGAAATTTATTTCTTACAATTCTGGAAGCTGGAAAGTCCAAGATCAAAGCACCAGCAGATTTGGTGTCTTGTGGAGTGAGAGTAGTTGAGGCAGGTCCGTGAGCTGCTTCTCCCCACAGAGGCAAGTCCCTAAGATAGGGGTCGCCACAGAGGATAAGGAAATTGATAGGAAACAGAGAGAATAAAAGAATGCACAGAGACTAAGGTACAGTTTATAGTTGTGTGTGTATATATATATATATGTATATATATATATGAGATATAACACAATGGGAAGTTCCTAGGGGACCAGCGGATCTCCATAACCGCCAGCAATATGGTTAGATTCATACAGGTTTTTATAATCATAGACATCAATTACCAGTTGTCAGGGTAACAGATTTGCATATCAGAGAATGCAGTTGCTACGGATACAGATAGTGGGTTGGGGTCAAAAGTCCTTTTAAGGGGCTTCTATTCTATCCAGGTGAACAAACAGGTACAAAGTCTTTCAGGGGCTGACTTCTAAGTTCTAAGAGGTAGTTAATTGTCAATTAACAGAAGTAAAACAAAAGAGGTATAGTGACTCTGTATTTCTTTGATTAGTTATGATAGACTTAAAGGTAGACAGACAGGAGAGAGCAGGAAGCCCATCTCTATAAAACAGGTTGTTTATAACCACCGGGGCGCATCTCTGTGCAAAGTGCATCATCTCATTGTCTCCAGCTCCCATCCTGTGGGCCATATTTGCCTTGTCTTGTCTTTCAAGACACAGGGAAGCTCACAGATTTTGAGATACCAGAAAGCCTTCCTGGAAAATATCCCCACCAGAGATTTGAGAGCTCTCCCATGATGGCAGCCTCTAATAAGTGAACCATTGAGTCCACACATTCCTTCAGGGCAAAACCCTGCAAACTCCTGTTTCTATTTTTAATATAGTACTATTAGGTTATACAATAAAATAATGGTCTTATGAGCCACATCTCATTAATTCCTCAATCATATTTTTCCAACAGTGTCTGGTGACAGCTTGTGCCCTGGTTCATAGATGGCACCTTCTCACTGTGTCCTCATATGGCAGAAGGGATGAGGAGTCTGTCTCAGGCCTCTTTCATAAGGGCACTAATCCCAAGCATGAGGGCTGCTCCACCCTCATGGCCCAATCTCCTCCCAAAGGCCCCCACCACCTCCTAATACCACTTGGAGGTCAAGATTTCAACATATGAATTTTGGGCAGACACATTCAGACCACAGAACCTTCCTACAACCCAGGGAGTGGGTTGACAGTGGACACCCATCCTCACAGGCCAGCTTTCCAAGACCTCTGCTTGCCAGCAAAATCCACAACTCCTGGAGGATGGTGCACCCAATCCAGGTAGCACCCTATTCCCAAGATCCTGGAGACACTGGCCAGGCTACGTCTTCCTTTATTCTTATTGCCCCTACAGCAACACTGCCTAATTGTGTTACTTTGGGAGAGTCACATGACCTCTCTGAGTCTCAGCCTTCTCATTCATAAAGTTGTGAGCTCAGGAAACACTTCTTCCCTCACAGAGCTGTGCTTAGCATGCAGTAAATGCTCGGTAAGTGGGAAGCGAGGCTGTCACCGATGGCGAAGAGCCCTCACACTGCCCGGTCCTCTTCCTGTCCTCACAGCTCCACGCACTGAGCTCAGGCACAAAGGCCATGATGGCGGACTTCTGCATCCAAGGGGCCGAGACATGCCGCAGGGCCTGTGGCGGACATGGATACTCAAAGCTGAGTGGCCTGCCATCACTGGTCACCAGAGTGTCAGCCGCCTCCTCCTACGAGGGTGAGAACACCGTGCTCTACCTGCAGGTGGCCAGGTAAGGCCCAGACTGGCCCAGGCTTCTGCCCAAGCCCTCGGGACATGCCACATTCCTGCTTGGGACAAGGCTTCTGGCTGATGCCCACAAAGGGAGCAGACTTTGGGAAGCAGCGTTTGGGGATGTCCAGTTCCCACAGAATGTCTGTAATCTACCAGCTTCCCCTCAGATCACTGCTGCTCCCGCCAGGCCACCACCCTCTCACCTAGACAACGACCTCAGGCTCCTCCCTGGTCTCTTGCTGCTACCCTGCACCACTTCTCCCCAGGCAGCCAGAGGGATCTTTTACAAAGCCTAGAGAAGATCACATCTTTTTCTTGCTTAAAATTCTTTAGTGGTTTCCCACTGTTCATAGAAAATGTCACTGTCTATACTGTGGCCTGCAAGGTCCTTATGGCCTGACGCCTGCCTCCCTGCCCACCCTGCTCTCCCAACCTCTGCTCACTTCTGCCAGCCACACACTTCTTTCCCACTACGGGGACTTTGCACTTGCTTCCTTCCTACTCAACACTGCCTTGTTTCCTTTACAACAGTTTTTATCACCTATAATTGTCTTGTTTTTGTTCTTGTTTTTTTGTTTACCTTTTCAGCTCTGCTTCCTAGCTAGATCAGGAATTCCCTGAGGACAGGGCCCACAGCTGCCTTGCTCACCACAGCATCCCCCAGGCTTGGCACGGAGCCTGCACACACAGGCTCCAACCTGAGGCAGGAAGTGATGGCCGAGTCGGCCTCTTCCACACAAGCGGTTTCTCTTCACCCCTTTTACATCTGTGGGGTCTCAAGAGCCTCTCACACTCACCTACTCGCAAGTGACTAAACATGGCAAATAATTCTCTGTGTAGGGAGAAAGGAGTTCATTGGCAAATATGACATATAACATTTACTGGATTTTAAAAAAATATATGACATTTATTGGGTCTTTTCCAAATTACAAAAGGAATGCAATAGCATATGTTAGGTACTTGGTACCCAGCACTGTGCCAAGTACTTCACAAATGTTATCTCATTCAGTTTTTACAACCCTTCTATCAGGTGAGAATTATCAGGTGAGAATTATCATCCCCATCTAGAGATGGACACTTAGAGTGATAAAGCGATTTCTATAGTATCACACAGGTCTCCAGGAAGCTGCGTGGGAATCTGGGGTTGTCTGAGCCCAGATTCTATAACCACTAGGTTATCAGAAGCCAGCATCTAAGAGTCACCTATAATGCGCCTACTTGTGTTAGCATTCTTGCATCTACCCTTTTTCAGCTAAGAAAATTTAATTTCCACATAGTCACTGTATAAGTCATCATAAATCCCCAAATCAGAAGATCTGACACAAAATATTCTGTTTGCTCAGATCTCAAAAGAGTTTATGTTTGGGGTCTTAGAGTGCCTGCCCCAGCTCCATGGCTGTTTCACTGTCGGCATGCTCATGCAGGGGGATGGCATGAGGGGCTCTGGAGCAAGGGGTACCCCTGAGGAGGACACTGGGCTGTGGCCTGGGTGGTGCTAGCTCTCCCAGGTGAAGCCTGAAGCTAGGATAAGCATGCCTGTATGTGGGAGTGAGGGGTGCTGGGCTGTCCCACAGAGCACCCCCACCTCTCACCTGCCTGTACCCTCTACCCCCACTCCTACCCCCATCCCCCAGGTTTCTGGTGAAAAGCTACCTGCAGGCTCACATGTCCCCTGGATCCACATCACAGAGGTTTCTTCCTTCATCTGTCGCATATCTTACCGCACCTGATCTGTCCAGGTGCCCAGCCCAGAGGGCAGCCGACTTCCTCTGCCCAGAGCTCTATACCACAGCCTGGGCTCATGTGGCAACCAGGTAAGCCAGTGCTAAGAAATCTTCCATCCCACCTGGGGGCAAGCTTCTTCCCACACTAGGACCTGTGAGATTTATTGGATGGACATTCATGTATGCACTTCTAAAAACCACCCACCCCTAGCCTCCCCAGTCCTCTCAGCTCCTGCCACCCATCAGCCATGGACCACCATCATGTCCCCATCCTGATCACAGCAGTAGAAGGACATCACCTCTCTAGCCAGAGAAAGGAACTTTAGAAATCCTTAGGTTCCTGTGGTGATTTACAATTCGACAATTAAATACTACAAATATATCAATATGCAAATGCTAATAAAGCACTATTCATATGTTCGAAATATCCTATAATCTAAAAGTAATTTTCAAAAATATGACTACATCAAGGGTTTATTTCCAGGGTCTCATAGGCTCCAGGAAACACAGACAAAACCAAGGACTCATCTATTCTGTCATTCAACAAATATTGTCAGGCAAATCGAGCAGGCTATGTCAGGAATGACCAAATATGCTAGGGGCTGGGGATGAAGACAGGTCCAGGCCAAGCACAGACACCACCAAGGAAAAGACAAAAGGTTTTCCTATCTAAAAAGGAAGTCTTCTGAACCCTGACCCAAATTAAAACACCAAAAACAAACTGAAATAACAAAACAAAAATATTTTCTGTATAAAATAAGAGGTTTTATATCCCAATCTTGTGATCCCAGAGATGTTTGATAGTTATTTCAAGATCAAAAGCAACTTGAGATGTTCATTTATTTATTGATTACAAAAATATTTATTAAGTGGTCACAACATGCCAGGCACTCCTCTTGGCACTAGGGAGTCTATCAGTAAGCCAGTCAGATAAACCCCAGGCCTCAGAGAGTGAGCACTTTGGCTGGGAGAGTTGCAGAAGGAAAAATAACATGGCTCAGGGTAATTAAAATGCCATGATATTTCTCTTTGCTTGGAATTTGCTGTGACATCTGCTTATCTATTCCCTGGTGACGCAAAACAAATATTACCCCATAAACAGTTTGTTTTTCATACAAATTCCAAGGGTCATGGGTGGATGGGCAGGGAATAGAAAATAAAAGGGGATTTGAGGTTAATAAAATGGCAAATGACTAATTTAGTGGTTTGGAGGACAAAGGTTTTCATTTTTGTTTTTAGGTCCCTTGAGTAGGACTTGGAGCAGGCGGGTGACCAACAGGCCTCACTAGCCTTTGGAGAAAAAGCATTCTCCTTGCTCAGGCCATAGGCAGTCAGTCAACAGAATGGCCAGAAAAGAGTGGCATCAGGATAGAATCTTCATTGGAAAGAGGGGACAGCTCCTGGCCTATGGCCTTGAGGCTTCACAACATGGTGGTTAAGAACAAATCCAGGCCAGGTGTGGTGGCTCATGCCTGTAATCCTAGCACTCTGGGAGGCCGAGGTGGGAGGATCCCTTGAGCTCAGGAGTTCAAGACCAGCCTGAGCAAGGGTGAGACCTCCATCTCTGCTACAAAAAGAAAAAATTAGCCGGGCATGGTGGTGCATGCCTGTAGTCGCAGCTACTCGGGAGGCTGAGGCAGGAGGATTCCTTAAGCCAAGGAGTTTGAGGTTGCTGTGAGCTAGGTTCATGCCATGGTACTCTACCCAGGGCAACAGAGTGAGACTGTCTCAAGTAAATAAACTAATAAATTAAAAAAAAAATTCCTATCATTTAAAAAAAAATTAAAATAGATTAACAAATAAAAAAAGGAGAACAAGTCCAAATTCTGACCCTGGACAAGTTAGTTAACCTCTCTTGGACTCCCCACTGCAAATTGGTAATGCCTTCCCTTAAAAGGGTAAAAGAGATAATGAGTATCAGGCATTTAGTTTTATGACACATAAGTGGTCAATAAACAGAAATTATGTCTATTTTTGAAGGACCCCAGGCAGCCCATCAGTTATGTTTTCCACTCAGTCAGCTGAACCTTTTTTTCTTTGATCTCCAGGCTCATAAAGGATTCAGTATATCATTTACAGACCCGGACGCAATCCGGGCAGGACCAGCACGAGGCCTGGAACCAGACCACTGTCACACACCTCCAGGCTGCTAAGGTGAGCTGTCTGTCAGCCGAAGCTGAAAGGGACCCTTTTTGTTTCCCAGGCAGGCTACTCTACTGGGAAAATCCAAGCTCTGCCATTATTCCCCAGCCCTGCTCAGTGGCCCCTGCCCTCATTCTACTTCTAAGGGTTTAGTCCAGGGTTATTTTTTTTTTTTTTTTTTTTTTTTTTTTGAGACAGAGTCTCGCTTTGTTGCCCAGGCTAGAGTGAGTGCCGTGGCGTCAGCCTAGCTCACAGCAACCTCAAACTCCTGGGCTCGAGTGATCCTTCTGCCTCAGCCTCCCGGGTAGCTGGGACTACAGGCATGTGCCACCATGCCCGGCTAATTTTTTATATATATATATCAGTTGGCCAATTAATTCTTTCTATTTATAGTAGAGATGGGTCTTGCTCTTTGCTTTAGGCTTGGTTTCGAACTCCTGACCTTGAGCAATCCGCCCGCCTCGGCCTCCCAAGAGCTAGGATTACAGGCGTGAGCCACAGCGCCCGGCCAAGTCCAGGGTTATTTTAATTAAAGGACTTAACTCCAAAGCAATCTTGCTGGCAGCTCTTAGGGGGAAAGGTAATGATGTAGTGTTACTGGATTTGCTTCAGGTTGTTCAAATATTTCCTCCCAGACAGAAAAGCAAGTAAAGTCTCCCCTTAGCCCCACAAGCAATTCTTGGATGTCTGATTCAATTTCCACTATGTTTTGTGTTTGCACATAATTTACCATCAGTTGGCAAATATTTGAGCACCCAGGCATGGGGCTGGGTGCTCAACAGTGAAGCCACTGCCCATACACAGCCACAATCAAGGAAGCACCACGACAGGGAAATATAGGCTACGATGGGACCCTAAAGCAGGTGCATCTCTGCCCACCTTGGGAGTCAGAAACGCTTAACAGAAGAAGTGGGAAACAGGCCAAGACTTAAAGGATGAGCTGAAATTAACCAAGGGTCATGGGTGGCAGCTTCGGAGAGGAAGGTTTCCAGGTAAAGGGAACAGCATGTACAAAAGGAGGAGGCAAAGAGAGGCACAATGCTTGGTTGGAAGTGCAAACACTTCCAAGGAGGACCTACAGGAAGAAGACTGAAACAAGGAGAGGAAGGAAGGGAGGGAGGAGAGGGAGGAGAGATAGACAAGGCCTGGGACCTTCTGTACCATTGTGAGAAGTTTGGGTTTTGTTTTCATTACATTGGGAAGACTGTGCCGAATTTGTATCAGGAGAGTGAAGTGATCAGAGTTTCATTCTAGAAGAATCATGCAGGCTACAGGGTGAGGAAAGGACCAGAGGCTAGAGGCCAGTTGGGAGAGAGCAGCAGTGGTCTGGGCCAGGAGCGAGGGCAGTCCTGATGACGAGCGTGGAGGAGGCCATAGACAGAAGTGGATAGGTGGAAGAGACAGGCCTCAAGAGAGTGACGGTGTGGGAAAGGGTAAGAATGACTCATGAGTTCTAGCTTAGGCAGTCTCTGGCCCTGCCAACAACCGGAAAACTACCCTCAGGCCACGGGCCCAGAAAATGGCATCCTTCAAACACGAGAGCCCTGAAGGAGTGCAAAGGCCCTCGGGGGTGGGCTGAGCTGTGCAGTCTGGGTGCGAGGACCACCTGCTGACTCACCACCTCCACCACACCCGCCAGTGCGGCTGTTAACTCTGCAACCCTCAGTTCTGATCACTCCTACACAGGGGCACCACCACCTGCTGTGCTCAATGTCCCATCAACACAAAGGATTAGCCAAGGCTTCCATCAAATTACCAAAAAAGGATCCACGGTTGCCCATTTGTCTGTCTTCCAAACCTATGCCTCGCCTTCAAAGGGCCCAGATGCTGCTTACCAGGGCTGCTTCATTGAATACACACAACCCTGTGAGGGAGACTAGCATCATCTCTATCTTAAGGGCATGGGAAGAGAACTCAGAGGAGTTAAGACCCAGAGGTAGGAAACAGCTGATCGAGATGCTGTCGTTCCCCATACACCTTGGAGGATGTGATGAGTGACTGAGGTGAGCCCCAAGCTCTGGGGGGTGCCAAGGGCAGGAAGCTCAGCCAGCCTGGGGGAGAAGAGCAAGTACTGGGGTGGTGGTAACCAAGCTGAGCCTCTGAGGTCATGATGGATAGGGCTTTCTATGCTTTTGTGGGGGTTATCTACTCTATAGAAAGCTCAAATTCTCACCTGGGTCCCCTCTGGAAACCGTATATGTACAAGTCGAGAATGACTGCAGTGTGGGAGGCAGCCCGTCGACAGAGGGGAAGACAAGGAGGAGCCACAGGCTAAGATCTGGCCCCAGCTGTGTGTGACCTCAGCAGCCCTTTCCCTCTCTGGGCTTTAACTCCCCTGTCCGTAAAACAAAGGTGCATGGAAAAGCCCTTTTGGCTCTGACAGGCTCTGGTCCTGTAATCTCAGGCTCTGCCCAGCAGAGGTGGCAGTCCCCAGGACCACTGGAGCAAATGCTGGTACTCGCTGTAATCCAGCCTCAGTTTCCCATGGCTTTGGCAACACAGGGTAGCAGTTAGGAACACGGCCCAGTTAGGGTCCTGTTGCCACTGCTTCCTAGTCATATGACCTTGAGCAAGAAATTCAATCTTTCAGAGCCTCCATCTCTTCATTCGCAAAATGGAGCTGATAACAGTACCTACTTTGTAGGATTGTGATGAAGATTAAATAAGTTAATACATGTAAAACTCAGGCACCTAGCACGTAAGTGTTATATATCCCACCCTCACCCCCAAATTAGACAGGAGCCAGGATTTAAACCAACACATATACAGAATAAAGTTCACCGTGTTCAAAGCATGGTGCCAAGGTTCTGCTCGGCCTTCCCCAAAGCATGTAGGTCGCCTTCTCTCTCCCTCTAGTCCCATCCTGCTTTCCAAGGCAGAGAGGCCCTTGGGTAGCTTTCCATCATCCACCCCTCAACCCAGACCCTTGAGCATCTGAGACTGTGGCCCTCGGAGTAGGACAGAGAAACACGGCTTAGGTAAAAGAAACGTGAGTCTCCAGTTCTGCCACGCTGAGCCCACTGTGAGCATCAAAGGCTGCCAGAGCCCGCAGAGGTGGCACAGCACATTTGCTCATGTTCCCCGACCTAACCCTGCAAGCCCGGCGTGGCTGTGAGCGCACCAGGTCTGCGCTGCAAAGTGGGGCTGTCAGTACCTGTGTGAGGCCCTGGGAAATGTTGGTTCTTTCCAAGTGAGAAACCTGATCAGGTCACTGCCCTGCTGAAGACTCCCTGGCCCCACAGAATAAAATCCCAACCAGGTCATTCACAGCCCTTCATCGACCTGGGTCCCAGGTACAGGTCCACCCTAACTCCCACAGTCCCTCCATCATCGCCGCATCACCCCAGCGCTTCAGCTTATAAACTGCTGGCAGCTTCCTGAAAGTACAGCCCTTTGCATACAAAGGTCCCCCTGCCTGAAATGACCTTTCCCCATCCCTTGTCCCTCTGGGTGAACTCTGCTGAGCCCCAAGACAGTCTAAGTCTTTCTACTTACAGTCACTACCAGCATCGTGGGCATCCCAGGGGAGTCATTATAAATGCATGGTCTCAGGCCTCACCGTGGAACCCACGTTTGAACAAGATCCCCAGGTGATCTGTGTGCACATAAAGATTTGAAAAACTCCACTCTCTCTCTTCCTGTCTCACCCTCCTAGAACTCACACATCCTACATGATAAGATATTAATAATTATGTGTACTTGTTGGGGAGGGGGAATATTCAAAATATTTAAAACCAATAAGACAGGGGCACCAACCAATGAAAAACTACTTTGGGCCTGGGGAAAGCAGGGCCCTGAAGGCCTCCTATTTGGTCAGGCATTGATCCTTTAGTGGCTAGGCTGTGGGGAGAAAGAGGGAGTCCCAGAAAAGGCGGCCATCTGGCAGGCGGAGGGGCTCTCACTGGGTTGATGGCAGTGGTCACTTACCAACAGGTACCAAGACATTATCTTAACAACCCACAGAGACAGACTGTTAGATATGGGCTGAATAACAGCACTGCTCACCTTAAGGAGCTCATGCTCTAGCTGGGATAAATCTCCATATATACTTTGAACCCTCCCTTTCTCATGCCATGGTGCACACACCTGTGCGCACACACACCACTGCCTTGAACGTGGCAGACAGTAGCTCCTTTCTTGAGAAAACTGGTGCTGCCTTCCACTGTCCCCAGGCCAGCCTCCAATATTCTTTCTTTCTACTTTCAACTCTACCTAAAGCTGCCCAAGCAAAATGAAGAAACCAAGGGCCAAGTTTCAAAGCCCTCCAGCACTCAACATACTCACACACATACACAAAAATACCATCAAAAAGGCTGTCAGACCCCAAGTGAGCTAGGAGAAAGGCGGCTGATTGTCAGCCTGCTGGGAAACACATGGCTGCAACGAGTTTATTCAAGCAGTTTTGCCAGGCTTCCAGGAAGACTTCTAGAGTCGGAAATCAGAAATCAGTGGCTAACGCTTCCGTGTGTCTCTGTAGGCACACTGCTACTATACCTCTGTGAAGAGTTTTAGTGAAGCTCTGCAGAAACTAGAAAATGAACCTGCAATTCAGCAGGTGCTCAAGCGTCTCTGTCACCTCCATGCCTTACATGGTATCCTGGTGAACTCAGGCGACTTTCTCCATGATGGCTTCCTGTCTGGGGTCCAAGTGGACATGGCGAGAACCGCCTACCTGGACTTGCTCCTCCTGATCCGGTAAGTGGTTGAGACTTCAAACTGTGTTGGCCTTCAGAGAATAACCCTAGACGCTGTTCACAGGTCACTTCAAACTCCAAACCCTTATTATTATGTGGAGTCTGAAAAATGCAGCAACAGCCCTGGAGAGGTTTACACCCTAGCATTATCACACCAACATAAAGCATTATGAACTAATAAAAGAAAAAAATGAAAAAAATAGAAATAAAAATGCTTAACAATAAAGTAGCTAATTCAATTGAATGCTTCAATATGGTCCAGGAAATAGGATCAATATCTAAGGAATATGAATAAAATGAAGCATGCTACATATGAATAATATGTGCTAATAATAAGAGTCTTAATCACAGCTAACATTTAAGGAGCACTTACGTGCCAGGCACTGTGCTACAAGCATCATCTCATTTAAAATGAACACTGTTAATCTCCTTGTTTTACTGCAGAGGAAATTCAGGCTTATGGGAGTTAACTTGCCCAATGTCACACAATTAGCCAGAGGAGGAGCCAGGCACAATCTCAGGCCTATCTGACCCCTCAGCATGTGCTCTTAACCTGTATGTTAAGGTCCAGGTGGAGGTATTGTTTGCTTCAAACATATCCCTGTCTTTATTGAATGTGCTTAAGCAAATTCTTACCATGCTTAGTAAACTTACTTTAATTCTCCCTCAGCTTCAAGATGAAATTTTTTTTTAACTCAGTAATTCATATATTGGGTTGCAAAGCAATAAATAATACAAACAGTTTTTAAATGCAGCTTTAATGCAGTACCATTTAGGGCTATGAAATACTAATGCAATGTTTTCATCCTGTTATTCTATAATATAAATGATTGCTTTAAAAACATATCAAAACCAAAGCTCAACCTCACTAAGGTACTGGAAAAATTAGAAAGTAAAACAATACAAATTATTTGCCATATTCCATCTTATTCTATAAGATGAAAAATGGGCTAACTTAAGAAGATAACTTAAAAAAAAAATTAAAAAAAAAATTTAAAAAAATTAAAAAAATAAAAAAAAAACAAAACAAAACAAAAAAAAAGAAGATAACTTTTTTAAGACTCACGGGCAGAAAATATAATGCCTATTATATGCGGGGGGGGGGTCCTCCAATGGTTTTCATTATCGACAAGTCTAAGAGGAAAAAAAACGGAAAAAGATTTAAACATGTTCAAAAATAAGATTTTAAGACAGAGGTTTAAAAAAATACTAGACCAAATTCTTTATTTCTAACAATATATAATAAGTTACATACTATTCATGACTACACATAAGCACCTAACAGATATTTGGTAGTCAGTAAATGTTTGTTGAATTAAATCATCAAAAATTGTCAAAAATACATTTGATACAATTATGCCCCAGGTATTAAACTTTCCCTAATATAGAGAATCCAATGGTGAAAACCATTAAGAGCATAATTAATTACTGCACAGTTCAAGCCCAAGTGCATCATGGCCATTCTGAAACACTCAGCAATTAAAGGCACATGAAGAAGCCGGGCGCGGTGGCTCACGCCTGTAATCCTAGCACTCTGGGAGGCTGAGGCGGGCGGATTGCTCGAGGTCAGGAGTTCGAAACCAACCTGAGCAAGACCCCGTCTCTACTATAAATAGAAAGAAATTAATTGGCCAACTAATATATATATAAAATTAGCCGGGCATGGTGGCACATGCCTGTAGTCCCAGCTACTCGGGAGGCTGAGGCAGAAGGATTGCTTGAGCCCAGGAGTTTGAGGTTGCTGTGAGCTAGGCTGACGCCACGGCACTCAAAAAAAAAAAAAAAAAAAAAAAGGCACATGAAGAAAATAACGTGCTAGTCCTGGTTGGTAGTAAATATAAAAGATCACCTTAACATCCTATAAATACTTTTTTCTATTTGCAAACAGCATTTCTAAGTGCTTGCCTTGGCTCCAGAGACTTACAATTCAAGACAAGACAGACAGCACTTATGCAAGCTGCCAGCTTACACATGCATCAAACCCACAAATTGATTTACTTACATTATGGTTCCTAAGTAATCTTATTATTGCAGGGTAATTCGGTATGGAGCAGGTTCCATGCTTTTAACCGTTCTGTGTCACAGTTTCCTGCCTTGACTAGTCATTATCTCCCTCAGATTTCTGAGATGACAAATGAAGGACAATGCACTATTCTAAGTGACACTTAGAACTAGCTCTCTGTGTAATGTTACTTAACTGACCCAAATGGTTTTTAGTTAAGTAGTCATAAAATCTCACTTAGGAAACTTCCAGGTAAAGATGGCAGATTAAACATATGATTTACTTTTTTGTTCCTTCCTGAAACCCTACTAAAACATCAGCACAAGGACTCAAATGTTTTAAAAGGGATAAACCCACAGAGAGAAAGAGAACAGTGGAGGAAACATGGAAGTTGAAGAACAGATGGAGACTTAGCAAACAAGTTAACCAGAGAGCCCAGGAATTAGCAGCGCTATGCACCTCTACCCTGAGACTGAACGATGATTTGAAATGCCATTTCAGAAGGAACTGAATCCTCAGTTCCCCTCCTCCTCCGTGAGTGGTTTTAAGACTTTACTTGACCCTGCCCTGGTAGAATAAACAGGGAACATCACCTTCCTCCCTCAACCCTCTTCCCACTGGTTCTCAAAAAAATGGGAGCCAGACTAGTACCCTGCAGGAAGACAGTAATGATCCTTCTCTGGAGAATCTGACCAGCTCAAGCAGAAAGAGCAAAGGACACTGACACTTAAGTCCCCCAGTGATCTAATTCACCCCATGGTGCACCCCACATTAACAAGCACACCCAAAGGCTTCTCATTGGGTAGTGAATGCCCTGCTCTTAGCTATGATCAGAAACCTCAGGAAAGCTCCTAATATGAAAGATGGAGACCAAAACAAGCAAGGACAAGGCAACTCCAAGGATACAAGAGAATCCACAGGAAGAAGAAAACTTTTTAAAAAATCAGTAGAGTTCCTAAAGAGCTAAGAGTTCTTATTTTATGCCACCACAAAATAAGAATCAGAATATAATTATTTTAAAAGTAATATATACAGAACAAAAAAGAGCTCTTTGAAATTAAAAAATGATAACAAAAATGAAAAACTCAAAGACTGGAAGATAAAGTTGCAGAAATCCCACAGAAAGAAAGCAAAAAGACAGACAAAAAATAGAGAAAGTATTTTTTTTTTATTTCGGCATATTATGGGGGTACAGATTTTAAGGTTTCAATAAATGCCCATATCCCCTCCTCCCCCCACAAGTCTGAGTCTCCACCATGACCATCCCCCAGATGGTGCACATCTCACTAATTATATATGTATATACCACCCCCCTCCCCCTCCCACCTGCCCATACCCTATTACTGTAGTACCTATGTGACCACTTAGGTGCTTCAGTTAATACCAATTTGCTGGTGAGTATATGTGGTGCTTGTTTCCATTCTGTGGAAACTTCACTTAATAGTATGGGTTCCAGCTCTAACCAGGAAAATATAAGATGTGCTATATCACCATTGTTTCTTAGAGCTGAATAGTACTCCATGGTATACATATACCACATTTTATTAATCCATTCTTGGATTGATGGGCACTTGGGCTGTTTCCACAGCCTTGCAATTATGAATTGTGGCTGCTATAACATTCGAGTGCAGGTGTCTTTTTTGTAGAGTGTCATTGGATCATTTGGGTAGATGCTCAGCAATGGGATTGCTGGATCAAATGGTAAATTCACTTGTATCGCTTTAAGGTATCTCCCTATTGCTTTCCACAGAGGTTGAACTAGTTTGCAGTCCCACCAGCAGTGTAGGAGTGTTCCTCTCTCTCCGCAACCACGCCAGCATTAATTTTTGGAGATTTTTTGATAAAGGCCATTCTCACTGGGTTAAGTGATATCTCATTGTAGTTTTGATTTGCATTCCCTGATGATTAGGAATGTTGAGCATTTTTCATATGTTTGTTGGCCATTCTTCTGTCTTCTTAGAAAGTTTCTGTTCAAGTCCTTTGCCCACTTTTTAATGGGTTATTTGATTTTTTCTTCCTGATTTCGTGAGTTCTAAGTATATTCTAGTTATCAGTCCTTATCAGATGCATAGGATGCAAAAATTTTCTCCCATTCTGTAGGTTGTCTGTTTACTTTCATGACTATTTCTTTGGCTGTGAAGAAGCTTTTTAGTTTGATCATGTCCCATTTATTTATTTTTGTTGCTGCTGTGATTGCCTTTGGGGACTTCTTCATAAACTCTTTGCCTAGGCCGATATCTAGGAAGTGTTTCCAACTTTTTCCTCTAGAATTCTAATAGTTTCATACTTAGGTTTAAGTCTGTTACCAGCGTGAGTTGATTTTTGTGAGAGGTGAAAGGTGTGGTCCTGTTTTAGCCTTCTACAGGTGGCTATCCAGTTTTCCCAGTACCATTTATTGAAAAGGAGTTCTTTCCCCAGCATATGTTTTTGTCTGCTTTGTCAAAGATTAGATGGCTATATGAGGATGGTTTTATATCAGGATTCTCACATCTGTTCCACTGGTCCATATTCCTATTTTTGCCAATACCATATTGATTAATTACTCACGCTTTGTAGTATAGTTTGATATCTGGCATATTAACGCCTCCCATTTTGTTTTTGTTGCCTAGAATTGCTCTTGATATTTGGGGTCTTCTTTGGTTCCATATGAAGCGTAAAATTATTTTTTCTATGTCTGTGAAGAATGCTGATGGGATTTTAATAGGTATTGCATTGAATCTGTAGATCAGTTTGGGCAGTATAGACATTTTGATGATGTTGAGTCTGCCGATCCACGAGCATGGTATGGATGTCCATCTGTTTACATCCTCTGCTATTTCCTTCCTCAGTGTTTCATAGTTCTCCCTGTAGAGGTCTTTTACGTCCTTCGTTAAGTATATTCCTAGGTACTTTAATTTCTTTGTTGCTATTGTGAAGGGAATTGAGTCTTTGATTTGGTTCTCAATTAGATTGTTGTTGGCGTATATGAATGCCTCTGATTTCTGTGTATTGATTTTGTATCCTGAGACTTTACTAAATTCATTGATCAGTTCCAGGAGTTTCTTGGTTGAATCTTTGGGGGTTTTCTAGATATAATATCATATCATCAGCAAACAGTGAAAGTTTGATCTCTTCTGCCCCTATTTGGATACCTTTAATTCCATTTTCCTGTCTGACTGCTGTAGCCAAGACTTCCAGCACTACGTTGAACAGAAGTGGAGATAGTAGGCAGCCTTGTCTGGTTCCAGTTCTAAGTGGAAATGATTTCAATTTTTCCCCATTCAGTATGATGTTGGCTATGGGTCTGTCATATATGGCTTGTATCATTTTTAGGTATGTCCCTTCTATGCCTATTTTCTTAAGTGTTCGCATCATGAAAAGGGGATTGAATTTTGTCAAAAGATTTTTCTTAGAGAAAGTATTTTTTAGAAGAGGACCAGTCCTAGCTGTCCATTATCTCAATAACCGGTCTAGAAAGAAAAGGCAGAGAAAAGAGAAGGGAGTAAATCTTTAATAAAATAATTCACGAAAACATCCTTCAAATGAAGGATATGAGTTCAGACTGGACAGGGCCACAAATGTCTACAGACTAGAGGAGAGGAGACAGACAGACATGCACACAAAATAATACATACTATGGGAAATGGTAATAAGTGCTATGAGGAAAAGGATAGCAGGAAGAGGAGAGAGGAAAGCTGGGGGTGGGGGTCCTACAGTTTAAACAGGTCAGGGAAGGCCTCCCTGGGAGAGTGACATTTGAGGAAAAACCTGCAGGAAGGTGGGGAGAAGCTATGTGGCTGCTGGGAAAAGAGTATTCCAGGCAGAGCGTTAAGTGCAGTCATGCCTCACTTATGGGGATACACTCTGAGAAATGCATCGTGAGGTGATTTCAGCACTATGCGAATATCATAAGGTATACTTACTCAAACTAGATGGTACAGCCCACTACACACCTAGGCTGTATGGTATAGCTACTGCTACTAGGATACAACCCTGTATAGCATGTACTGTACTGTTGCCTATACTGGAGGCAACTGGAGTACAAATTGCTAGGCAATGGGATTTTCAGGTCCATCATAATCTTATGGGACCACCATCACATACACAGTCCATCACTGACTGAAATGCTATTATGTGGTACATGACTGTACAACCGTTGGAAGCCAGGGTGTGCTTGGCACATCCATCTAGAGAACAGAGAAGAGGCCACAGAAGCAGGAATGGCTTCTGTGAGTGAGGTAGAGAATGAAAGCAGAGGTCAGAGAGTTAAGGGAATACAGGGAGGGGCAAGAGAAGGTAGGGTGGGTCACTGCAAAGACTGAAATGAAGACTTTGGCTTTGGAGGGTTTTAAGCATAGGATAGACACAACCTGAACAAATCTGATCTATGTTTTTAATGGCTCGCTCCAGCTGCCATATCAATAATTAAGAGTGAAAAGGGGGGAGATCAGTGGGAGGCTAGCACAGTAATCCAGGTGAGAGGCGATAGTGGACTGGACCAGGGATAGCACTGGAGATGGCAGGAAGTGGTCAAAGTTTGTATATCTTTTGAAGGTAGAACAGGATTTGCTGACAGATTAGATGTGGGGCAAGAAAGAAGAAAGGAATCAAGGCTTTTAGCCAGGTCAGAAGTGCCATTTACCATAAATGGAGAAAACTACAGGAGGGCCAGGTTTGGGTGGGATAGACAGGAAGAGGTTTAGTCTAGCAGATTAGTAGTTTGGTTTTGGACACATTACGTTTGAAGAGCCTGTTAGAAATCCGAGTACAGATGTTGGTAGCAGGTGACACTGGAGGGATGTATTTAGAAGTCACTGGTGCATGGCTGATATTTAAAGCCATGAGAGGGTTGCTGTTACATGGAGTGAGTGCATGAAGACAAAAGGTCCAAGTACTAAGTCTTGAGACCCTCCAAAGACAACACGACCTTGACAAGAGGTATTTCAGTGGAATAGGGGGAGTAAAAACCTGAATGGGTCCAGTTCAGAGAGAATGGGAAAACTGGAAGTAGTAAGCACAGATGGGCATAACACTTTCAAGAAGTTTTGTCATAAAGGGGAGCCATGATGCTAGAGGGAAAAATCAAGTCAAAGCCTTTAAGATGGGAAAAATGACAGCATTTTGGTGTACTGATGGAAATGATCCAGGAGAGAGGGAAATTTTGACATTGTAGGGGAAAGGTGAAGAATTTCTGAAACATTGCTCCCTAGTAGGCAAGAGGAAAGGGCATCATCTGGTAGACAAGGAGGGACTGACTGGCGTAATCTGGGCACCTAGAGAGTTGACCTGTACTAAGAAGAAAGAAGGCCCTGGATGTATAAATGCAGGGGTGGGAACTTAGGGAAATTCTCTTACTGTGTCCTATTTGACTTTATCAGTCAAATAGGACACAAAATCACCAGGTAAGAGAGACAAAGCAGGTGGGTAGTATAGATTTGAGGATTGAAGAGAAGATGTGAAATAATCACCTAAGAGAAGTAAGTGAACTAGAGCAATGTAACATGACTGCTGAGCTGCAATCGAGGCCCACTAGAACCCTTGCTGCATCAGTCAGGACTGGTTTTTCCAGCCACATATAGCTACAAAGGTGGTAGCATGAAGTCAGTGGAAAGTTGGAGATAAGGAAGGATGGGTTTTGCTAAACTAGTATGCCAAAGCAAGAAAAATTACTTAATATTTTTGAGGGAGTAAATATAAAAGACCATGAAATTTCAGCTAGATAAGGAAGAAAGTGAGACTACAAGGGGCAGAGGGACATTAAATAGGTAATAAGGTTTGTAATGATGATGACAGGTCATCAAGGAAGGATTAAATTGGGTGCAGTATCCCAGTCACCTCAAATACTTTGACAACACATAGTCATCATAATGTCAACACTGAATATTGGTGTGGCCAAAATTTTAACTATACTGAGAGGCAGAAAGGCCTAAGGGAGGAAGCATGGGGGTGGGGGAAGGTAGGAGTAAAGAGAGGGAGGCTGGGCACATTGGATCACATCTGTAATCTCAGTACTTTGGGAGGCCAAGGCAGGAGGACTGCTTGAGGCTAGGAGTTCAAGACCAGCCTGGACAACACAGTGAGACCCCCCCATCTCTACAAAAAAGAAAATAATTTAAAAATTAAAAAGAGAGTAGTGCTAAAAATAAATCCTTACCTTTTGTAATGAAGAGTCTACAGATAATATCTAAAATTGAACCATCAAGAAGCTGCAATATAAACAAGCTATTTAGACATTCAGGCAAATACCCAAGTATCAGCTACAAGATTGAAACTGATTGCTTCTGGGGAGAAGATGGAAGTAAGAGACAGAGATATGCTGCTTTTTAAATAACAAACCTTAAGAAACTCTGACTCTTTATACCACACTTATATAACGGATTAAAAATTAAAAACTAAAATCTGAATTGTTCAGAAAGCAAATGATGTAACTCCTTATGAGGTGTTCACCATCCCAAATTCATTAGGTTCATAAGAGCAATCAGAAATACTCACGAACTCTTGTTTCCTCTCTCAGGAAGGATGCCATCCTGTTAACTGATGCTTTTGACTTCACTGATCAGTGTTTAAATTCAGCACTTGGCTGTTATGATGGAAATGTCTATGAACGTCTGTTCCAGTGGGCTCAGAAGTCACCAACCAATACTCAGGTAGCTGAGTGGACACATTATGAATTATGTAAAAGAGCAGAGAACAAGCAGTGAATATACATCCATGGTTTCCCATTTTAATTGATTCCCATTAGGCTGGAAATCACTTGGCATCACATGTCTGTTTTAAAAACTTTTAGAGAACAAGGCCAAGCATGGTAGCTCACACCTACAGTCCTAGCACTCTGAAAGGCCGAGGCAGGGGGATCCCTTGAGCTCAGGAGTTCAAGACCAGCCTGACCTGTCTCTACGAAAAAAATAGAAAAATTAGCTAGGTACGCTGGCATGTGCCTGTAGTCCCAGTTTTTTGGGTGTCAGAGGCAAGAGGATAGCTTGAGCTCAGGAGTTTGACGTTGCTGTGAACTATGATGATGCCACTGCACTCTAGCCAGGCTGACAGTGAGACTCTGTCTCCAAAAAAAAAAAAAAATTTTAGAGAACACCTAAAAGAAACCAAGAGTGGGGGTGTGGCCTGGCAGGAACTGCAAGTCTAGAAACTTGGGCTATAGTCAGCAAAATGCAGTGCTGGGAACTGGGTAAAGGGAATTAGGAGGAAGGCCCAAGCTTGAAATCGTGGTTGGACATACCCAAGGGCATGCACACAGAGTGGCAAACTGGCTTATAAGTAACAAAAATAAGGAGATACGGCCGGGCGCGGTGGCTCACGCCTGTAATCCTAGCACTTTGGGAGGCCGAGGCGGGCGGATCGCTCAAGGTCAGGAGTTCGAAACCAGCCTGGGCGAGACCCCATCTCTACCAAAAATAGAAAGAAATTAATTGACCAACTAAAAATATATATACAAAAAATTAGCCGGGCATGGTGGCGCATGCCTGTAGTCCCAGCTACTCGGGAGGCTGAGGCAGTAGGATCGCTGAGCCCAGGAGTTTGAGGTTGCTGTGAGCCAGGCTGATGCCACGGCACTCACTCTAGCCTGGGCAACAAAGTGAGACTCTTGTCTCAAAAAAAAAAATAAATAAATAAAAAATAAGGAGATACATCACTGTGGTGACTTAACCATCTTATTTTCAGCCTTTTAACTGTTCTGTGTAGATAAAAGTGGGTATTTATAGGGGATAGGATGCTTGGGAGATGTCTCTCTTGGACCTGACTGGCTGTGAGAGATCCCTCCCTCCTCTTCACTCTAAGGAACACAATCCTAGGTGCAAAAGAGGCTGCTGCACTGACATCAGTGCCCCAGAAAGCCATATAAATGACAATTTACAAGGGCTATGGCAAGAAGACCCCCAGCTGTCCTAAGAGAGAACACCAAACTTGTACATCATTGACAGTGAGAAGAGGGAGGGACTCATAAACCCCAACAGCCTACAGCCAGCCAAGGTCCCAGGCTCTTGGCTATTGGCCTCTTTGGGAAAAACTATGAATATCAATGAATATATTAACTGTAGTGAAGAAATAAGCCCTGTTTTAGAATTTGGGGAACCAGTATTTAATAGATGTGACACAGATGATCAAAACACAGAATCTATAGGTACACAACAGATTATTTTAAGTTGTATAATGCCAACATGTTACTCAGATGGTGAAGCTTTCTTCTTTACCTCTTCGGTCCAATTTCAGAAAAGGTGTCTTAACACCTCATCAAATTGGCAATTCTCAGGCTTTGATTCACACTTAGCATGGTGTTAGACTTGCTCTTAACAATTTGTAGCCTGCCATACCTCACAGCTTAATTTAACGTGATTATCTAAAGTTATAACACAACCAGTTACCCTCAAGATGGTTGTCAGATAGAAGGCCAATCCATTTTGGCCATTCCCTGTCCCCGGGAAGGTATCCTTTTAACACAAGGAAATAGAAACAACTTACCTAAAAAAAGTGTATGTTTACTGCTTAGTAGTTAACCTACATCCACTATGTTACTTTTTCTAATGATTGGATCTATTTCTAACATTTAAATCCTACAACAAAAATACAGCAGTCCTCCCACTCCAGACTAGCTCCCACAGTCTAAAGTTGAATGCTTGCCCTTTGGTGCTCCAGAGAAAAGCTTGCCTTGCAGTACCACCTGTCAGGAAACACTGACTATGTAGCTCAAACCTATTTTACTGGCAACAAAGGAAACATTCCAGTTCTCCTGATTCTTCATCTTGACTGAAGAATATAGGGGGCTTTCCTTGTTTTTCACTTTCTTTTTAATGTTTACTTTAAAAGAATTTAATCTGGATCCTATCTAAGAGTGAAAGGCATGAGTGACCCACAGCATCCACACATTTGGAAACACGTTGATACACTTTATCCTGCCCACTTCCATCTCTTTCCACTTGGCTGTGAACAACGATGAGGTCTTCACCTTCTTAACTCCAGGATCTATCAGAGTAGTCACTCCATGTTTCCATAAACAAACAGGGTTTTATAACCTACATAGTGAAACAAAGGAACCTGCTGCATACACAATGCCATGGACTCTTGTCATCCTAGCTTGTATTATCTCGCTAAAAAGGTGACAAGTAAAGTACTGTGGCCCTTCATGCATAAGCTCATATGCAATTAGAAATGTGAAGTTACAAATAACCTTGGAGAACCGTTTCCAGTTAGTTAAAATAACACTCAGCTGACCGTCAACATGATCTAACGATACATTTCTGGCTCCTTTTGGAGACCTCCCAAATAGCATTTCAAAGTGTATTTTTCTAATCTGTTATAGATAACCTTGAAGCTGCAATAAGAGAGATTTTTTTCCTCATTTGCACTAGTAGAGAAAGGCACACTACAGGTATCTCAAACAAATTAAAAGAGCAGCTATGCTGAAACATGCTCTGTAGATACAAAAGCATAAACAAGAATATATTTCACTAGCATTTTTCTTTGGATAGAAAGAAAAGAATATATTTCACTAAGAAAAATGCTAAAGTAAGTTAAACACCTTAGAATCACAGGAGCATTTCTCTGTCGGGGGCAGGTGGTGGTGAGCTTTATCCTCAGAGAGTGATGTACTCTCTCTTGGTTTACTCTAGCCATGTCTGCTTTTTGGCTTTTTTCCTGCTTTGAATGCTATTTCAAGCCAGTTTCTTCAAAATGAACTGCAAAATACTGTTCCCCTCCCCACCTGAACTCATATCTAAGTGATTCCCTAGAGATGCAAGCAGTGGAGGGAATCACTGGTGATAATTTCAAAACAAGAATCCTATTTTCCCTCAATTATTCTAATGTAAAAATTTGTCCAAGTAGTAGATTCATTCAATCATTCAACAAATATTTACTGAGCACATTGCCAGAAACTGCCCTAGGTACTGTGGATACAGTACAGAACAAGAGTCATAGACCTAGTGTTCAAGTAGCTTACAATTTTAGCATAGACAGGCAAAAAAAAGTAATTATTATAAAAGATGAGGCTAGAGCTATGAAAGACAGAATCAAACCACTGCATTAGAGAATAACAGAGATAAGCTACTCTGACCTAGAATGTTGCTTACCTGATTCTACTGTCTTGTTCCTTGCTTTATGGGTTAATGTTCCTTTCGAAGAGCCTCAAAGAATCAAGCCTTCTATCTGTATTAAATTCCAAAAGCAAATGATAAGCAGTGTTTTTAATTGGCCACCTGCATCCACAACTTAAAATCTACATGAGAAAAGGATGCCCTTTGGAAAAAATGTTTCTCCGTATGTTCATACAAAATGTATTTAAAAAATAATTTTAAAAATTAAGCATCTTATGTAATGTTCCTTTTTTGAAGCTAAAGACTTATTTTGAAAGTAAGTCATTAATCCTGGCAGAAATATCCTGTTTTAATAATGCATTTCTTTTTACAAACAGGGGAACCCTGCCTATGAGAAATATATAAGACCATTATTACAAAGTTGGAGATCCAAGCTATGAAATAACTAACAGTATTCAAGAAGCAAGCAGCACCACTATGTGATCATGGTACTATGGCATATATATAAAATTAAAATTTAAAATTATGCATTTATTTTAGAGTTATCTTTTAGATACAGTCTGAAGTAATATCTGTGAAATAATATCTGTGGTTTACTCCTAAATAATCCATAGGAAAAAGCAGGAATGAATAGTTGTTGGTCAGTGGGTAGGTACATGGGTGTTCACTATTCTACTTTTGAATATGTTTGAAATTTCCCACAATGAAAAATAGTTACCACTATCCATTTGTAGCATCTATTTTGTTAACTATCAGGATTTTGCTTTAGATCTAAAAAGCCAGTAGACTAATTCATTAACACTTGTTTTCAGCACACATTTACCCTCAGGTTTAAAAGTGTGCATACACAATCCTCCACAGTGCCTACACTTGGTGTAATCTAAATAAACTAGAGCCCTAAGAATGCAATTAAGTATCAACTTTTAAAAATCAACTCTTCCACAGTAAAAATGATTTAAAATTTCAGAAAAACAGACATAACTGTCTCAAACTACCCAAAATCATCAAGCTACATTTTTCACATCATTTTCAATTATCCAGCTAGATAAAACACTTAAAATTAAATGTCACTAGACAAATTAAATTACAAAAAAATCTCCACTGGCTACTTTTCCTAATTTACTCATATAATCATTGAGTTGTTAATAATTAGTGAATCTGAGAAAATTTACCAAAAGCAAACTTATCTCCAGTAAACTGGGCAAGGAAGAGATCCCATAAGTTCTTAACTTTTAACTAGTATTATTTCCTTTTTCCACACCTGTTTTCAACCCAATCATTTTACTTCATATTGGCCTCAGCTTGCTCAACCACACACAACTGGTTGGGGTTTTGTTTTGTTTTGTTTTTGTTTTTTCAGGTAACCATCAATCAATTTTAAATAGGAGAGAATATTTTTTAAAAGATAACCTGTACTACTACATTGACTCACTGAAACCACAGCAGCCTGTCAATAACATTAAGGGGTTTTAGTTTGAAGATGGTGAGAACAGGGTAATTATAGGCTTCTGGATATTGGCCATTTGTCAAATCTTAAAATAAATTTTCAGAGAGACATGGGCAAAAATGGACATGTTAGTGTTCTCTTCATTGAGAAAGAGAATCTCAGAATCTTCTCACAGAGAGAAGGGAAAAAGGCGTCATCTGCCTGCCCCAGGGAATACAGCCTTAGAGCTCCACTCTCCCCTTGTAAAACAGTGAAGAAACTTCATGACCTTTCTTTTATAAGGTGTTCTAGCAAACTAGGAAGTCTCACTATAATTAAAATAATCCTTCCTGTGAGTAACTTTCAAGAAATAGAATCAAATGAACTATACAAAATAAGAATACAGTGAAATAACTAAAATTATGTATTTCCCCAACTGCTTCCAGACCCTGCATTCACTGGAGCTTGTTTCTTCTCCTCAGAAATAAACTTAACTTTGATAACACAATACATTTGTGGGTTACCACAATAAAGTGGCTACGGAGTCATTTTGTCCCTGTGTTCTTAGCACAAAGCTGAAATAAGTCATATTCAGAACTATGACAATTGAAAAATGTATAATCTTCAACATAAGTCCTATTTGAAAAAATTTGTCAAACTGCATGTTCACTGTTCAAATATGCAGACAAAATTCATTTAGACAAAATTAATAATTCTATACATCTTTGTTTCAATAACACAATAGAGTTTTTATAAACTGCAACCTAAGGTTTCACCAAGTCTTCCCAAATCAAATATAAATGTGCTATATGCAGTAAATATTGGGACATAAAATAAACAATGCATACTTTAGAAAAAGAATATAATTTTCCCCCTTAAGTTATAATAATCATCAATAAATACATACTTAATTTTCATATTTCATTTATTAGGTGTTTTTTTTTTTTCTGGTCAACAGTACACTTGGGAATTATACTGCACCAGGCATAAGAAGATTTCTACCACAGGGACATTTTGTATTCAGAATCCAATATAAATATTTCTAGTTAGACATTTCCATGGCTACAGATGATATTTGGTTCCTTGATTTATATGCATAGAAAGAAACAGTTGCCATAACTGTAAAAAGCAGTACTTAATAAGTACTTTTAAGTGATTGGAACAGTTTTCCTTTAATATTACAATACTACTTATTGTTTTGGAAACTAGGTCACACTACATGATGCTTTGATTTTTCTCAAAGGCATCATGAGTACTCTGTTTATTCTTTCATTCCTATATTTTTAGCCTTCTAGACCATTTTATCAGAAATCATTTTAGCACTGTAATAAAAAAAGCTCTGTTAAGGATTATATACCATAATGATTTTCAGACTTCTTTTTATAAAAAAGGTATCTGGAGACTCTGAACAGGCACATGCATACTCAGGGTGAAGGGAACAAAACATGGAGGAGTCTGCTAAAGCACAAAACTTCCTTCTGGGCCTCACTGCCTTCAAATAAATACAAATATTTAAAAGAAAAAAAATCTCACACTGTGATTTAAAAAAAAAAAATCAGTCTCTTCCATTTCCTGGAGAGTCAGTTTCCAGAAACCTCTCTCCGGGTTGGAAATCAGTCATCTGTCTTCCGGGCAAGTCTACAGAAAGTCCAGTTGTGCTCCACTGTGTTCTCGTTGGCCCGCTCACTCATGTGATGCACTCGGGTGTTGCGGATCGTGAAACCTTGTTTTGTAATGTATTCCATCAGGTGGACCCTAAGAGAAACTTCCTGGTGATAATCACAGGGTCCAAAAGTAAAGGAAACCTGACAGTCCCTGGTGTCCATCATGTGTTTATTCCACTTGGTAAAATAATTTGAGATGCCTTCTAGCAAGGAATGGACCTTGGTGGTGATGGTTAATTGGGTTATAATGACAGCCACTGGATTGGAGTACTTAGAAAGCTTCCGAGTACTAGATAGTTCCACAACTTCTTCAAAAGTATCCATAGGATACAAAGGCTTAGGGTCATTGAGACACTGAATCAACGGCTCAATCTGGTAAAAATCTGCTTCCTTCCGAAGCAGATCAAATTCCTTAAAATCCAGGGGTAAAGTCAACTCTGAAGTTCTTAAGAAGTTGAGGACATATCGGAAAAGAGGTCCATCTCGATCAATGAAGTAATTGCCTTGAGGGTCTCGAGCTGTGGGGAAGTCCCCCCCAAACATAGCTCCAAGCATGGAATCCGGGTAACGCGTCAATGTGGTGAGAGAGGTTGTATACAAGTGTCCACCTACATTTAACGTGACTGGGTCAGTCATCTGCAATGTTTAAAAAAATGATCAGTCATCTGAAAATTTTTAAATCCTACCTTTGACAAATTAAGAAAATTAATGATACTGAGCAAAGCACAAGATATCTTCAGGCTATAATGCATTTAGTAATCCTATAATGCAAAATGGCTTTACTTTCAGTGATAAACATAACCAGATGAAGGGATCTAACATTTGCTTTCAATAGAAAAAAAGGATAAATCCAATTCTTTAAAGACTCTGAGAATGCAGGGCATGACTTCCAGAGCTATATAGTTTCAGGTCAGAGAAGATTATGGGAAGGAAAAAGCTAAGCTAAAATATACCCCTAAGTTTTTTCTGATTTTTTAAAAAAAAGGCTTTCATTTTTCTTAACTCAATTTAACATAGGATAGAATAAAAATGATCTGATAATGTAAAGACATCTACTTTCAATATTTCTTTGAGTTTTTTCCCCTCATAAAAGGGGAATGAATCATGAAGTTTATTTTAAAGATAAAAATTTGTACAGGGGCCGGGCGCGGTGGCTCACGCCTGTAATCCTAGCTCTCTGGGAGGCCGAGGCGGGCGGATTGCTCGAGGTCAGGAGTTCGAAACCAGCCTGAGCAAAAGCGAGACCCCGTCTCTACTATAAATAGAAAGAAATTAATTGGCCAACTAATATATACAAAAAAAAAAATTAGCCGGGCATGGTGGCACATGCCTGTAGTCCCAGCTACTTGGGAGGCTGAGGCAGGAGGATCCCTTGAGCCCAGGAGTTTGAGGTTGCTGTGAGCTAGGCTGACGCCACGGCACTCACTCTAGCCTGGGCAACAAAGCGAGACTCTGTCTCAAAAAAAAAAAAAAAAAAAAAAAAAAAATTTGTACAGAACTAATCTTGATAATCTTTTCATGGAAATTATAGTTTTAAACACTAAGTTAAAATATATATAGTTTAGTCAATACAACCTAGCTACAAAAGCGTCACATACTCAAAGGCTAACAGCAGCTTTAAAATTTCATAATCTGATAGTATATTCACTTTTGCAACATTAATATTGCAATCTAGCCTTTAATTTTGATAAACAAGCTTCTCTAACATACTTTCACTATTAGAAATCATATTTAAGAAGAAATAAAGACAGAGTTCAGATACAAGACAAGTAAAATATTTTCTTACCAAAGGAATAGAAAAATAGGGAGACACATGCACACATGAGAAGTGCAAGTGGGAAAAGAGGTACCTTCTCAATCATTAATCTCCCTAACTAAAAGAAAATGTCCTCCGTATCATTACTCACCACATCCTTCTAGTAGTCACCATTCCATCAAGGAAATATTTTAAGAGCAATATACTTTTAAAACCAAAAAATAATGTTGTCTCTCAAATAAGTGATTTAAAAAAAAAAGTACTTGGAGAGTCCATATTGAGTTTGCTCCCATAAAAACACCAAACCCTAAGGAGTTTGAGACCAACCTGAGCAAGAGCAAGACCATGTCTCTACTAAAAATAGAAAAAATTAGCCGGGCATGGTGGCACATGCCCATAGTCCCAGCTACTTGGAACGCTGAGGCAGGAGGATGGCTTAAGCCCAGGAGTTTGAGGTTGCTGTGAGCTTTGATGACACCACTGCACTCACTCTAGCCTGGGGAGCAGAGCAAGATTCTACCTCAAAACAAAAACAAAAAAACACCAAACCAGCCCAGGTTGGTGGGTCACACCTATAATCCCAGAATTTTGGGAGGCCAAGGCAGGAGGATGGCTTGAGACCAGGAGTTTGAGACCAGCAATATAGTAAGACTCCTTCTCTACAAAAAAATTTTTTTTAAAAAATTAAAAAATAAAAACACCAAACCAACCAAAAACATCCAAAAAATACATCTAAAGTATTAATAATTAAAAGAGGGGAGAGTTGTACAAATTCATAATATTCATTCTTATACATTACACCTAAGAATACATAAGGGAAAACAAGACACACAAAAATTATTTGCCAGCCTTCAAAATGCATATGCAAGAACCACTTACCATATAGCCCCAGTCTCCATTATCCATCTGCTCCAGCGCTGTGTCTCCAAGAGCCCAGGTTCCCAGGAAAACTTTGGGAAGAAAAAAATCAGACATATGATAGTACGTATAACTACAAAAATAGAGAAAAAAGGTTTTTTCCACATCACAGAGCAGTCCAAACAGCAGAAAAACTACTCATTTTGCTCAACTAAAACCTAACACAGGGCAAAGATCTGGGGAAGAAAGCACACCGCTCAGGGCCTTCTATGTATCCTCTATCCTTATCACAAGGAGCCCATCTGGAACTAAGACAAGATTTTTATAGAGAAAGAACTATTCTGTACTTAAAAAGGAGGAAGAGCCTAGGAATTAAACCAGTCATTCAATTTCTACCTATCTGAATCTTCACAGGGTATAACTAAAAAAGAAAAGGAAACGAAAGGAAAAGGAAAGAAAAAACTACCTCTCTTCTTTGAAAATCCAATTTTTAGAATTTCTATAGGAGAACATTCTGATTAACTCTACAACCTTATCCTGGCACAAACCCTTAGTGGGCTACAACGTACACTACTCTGGTGATGGGCACACTAAAAGCCCTGACTTCAGCATTATTCAATTCATCCATGGAACAAAAACATCTGTACACCCTTAATATATTGAAATTTTAAAATAATTAATAAAATGCATCATTGGAAAACTCCAAATAACAAAAAATTAAAATTAAAAAGGGAGAAACGAAAAACTCCTTTTCATCAGCATTTCAGCTATACAAATTAATCATCTCAGTAAAAGCATCAAAAATCATAAACCTCCAGAGAGACCAGTATCCCTTACAAGAGAAATACATCAGCATGGTATTTATTTTATAATACAAAAAACTAATCATGATATAGTTTCATAATGATGTATTTCTCTTTGTACAAGTAAAACAAATAGAAAACAATTTAAATGCTAAACTGTTAGAGCACAATTTGGGGCAAAAAAAACCTTATCAATCTGGCCGAGAGTGGACTAGCCAGCACTCATGGACAGCCAGCATTAAGACACTGAGAAAAACTCAGGTACTAGTGATGCCAATGTGAATTTATTTTTATCTACAATTCAAAAGCACTTAAACAGTTTCCCAGCTACTGAATTGCCTTAGTCAGTTCCCTCTCACACACGTCTTTCCCCAAATCAACCTGCAAAGCAAACTGCAGAGCAAATTTCAAAAGCTCTGGCAAGAGATGGTAAGAAACATGGACTTATCCGTATTCATCCAGGAAAAGCACTTGCTTTTTTATGTGGTCTTTGAACAGATCCACTTTTCCCACTTTTAGAGGAATCTGGCACACAATTCCCAGAACAAGCCCTGGCTACAGAAGATCACAAAGGCTCTTTCTCAAAAGGTCACTCAGGCATGTAGAGAACATTTGCATAGCACAGCATGGGCTGAAATCAGAGCCTGAAGCATCTATTTCTCTACCTTGCAAATTCTTCAAAGCAAACAGGCTAAAATGTGGACCCAGAGACACGCACTCAGTTTTTATTCTTTACACTCTGCAGTTGGATATAGATAGGCCTCCACATGCTATAGGCTGAGAAATGGAACAAATGTCAAATTCAGGGCTATTATGACATTTCATTCCTCTGACTTGCTTCACAAATAGTATCTGAAGTAAACAGAACCAAGAAATGGTGCTGCCAATTTGTCTTGCCAGCATCTGATTCATAACTGATAACAATAGATTAATAACTGAGCAATTTAAAGGGACAGTCATCCAAAAGTTCTGGTAAGAGGCTCATCTTTGGCATTTTTCCATCACCCAAAATATGCATTCCTGACAGCCTCAATAATCATTTATTCCACCAACATTACTGAAACTCAACTATGGGGTGGGGAGGAACCTATGTGCAAAGGGGATACACAGAAATAGGAAAGGAACAATTTTGCCCTCACGGAGCTTTCACTCTATGAAGGAAGGCAACATGTGACAACTTAAGTACAGAACAGAATTCTGAAGCACCATATAATAGATGGACCAGTAGAGGCCTGCAGGAGGAGAAAATCAAGATTTCAAATGGGAAAATGGAGGACTTTTGAGAAAAGCTCATTCAGTTGAACCCTGAGATAAAATTTAGACAACCTGAAAAGAAAGGGATTCTAGAAATAATTTAAACAGACAGAGATATGAAAGCTTTTCTACTGCCCACCTTCACAGTATTTCTGATAACAGTAACCCAAGCATATCTTACTATTAATTTTTTAGAGATGCAAAATAGAAAAACAGGGCAGATTAAGTGACTAGTTCAAGACCCCACAACTGAGAAGTAACTAAATAAGAATTTTAGTTTTCTGATTTCTAGTCTAGATCTTTCCATAGTCCTCTCTTTTTTTTTTAATATATATATTAGTTGGCCAATTAATTTCTTTCTATTTATAGTAGAGACGGGGGTCTCGCTGTTGCTCAGGCTGGTTTCGAACTCCTGACCTCGAGCAATCCGCCTGCCTCGGCCTCCCAGAGAGCTAGGATTACAGGCGTGAGCCACCACGCCCGGCCATAGTCCTCTCTTAAGATAGAAATTTAAAGAACAGAACCCAAGAAATAAGAAATTGAAAAGGATTACCTTTAGACTCCCTATAGCCATCTATTAATCCTATCCACCCAGTGGGGATTTACTTACAAATCAGCCTAGCTAAGCAGTCATAATGGGTTTGTAGAAATTCTCTTGAGGCTAAAAAAAAAAAAAAAAAAAAGTGGACAAAAAAGGCAGGAACCTATTCACTACTGTAAATAATGGCTGCTATGCTCTGTCTTCAGTGACAAAAGAAAAGTGCAGTCCATGAATATCCAAATGGTGAAATGAGAAACGGAAGATCAAGGAAAAAAACAGACATTAATGTTATAGCTGTTATGTAAGGTCTGTCCACTATTAATCCTTTTTCTCCTTTTTTACTGCTAAATCAAAACAAGATAACTTCTTGAGCAGTCATAAAAAGAAAGTTAACAATACCTCTGAATCTGTTTCACAGCAAAAGCCAAGGTTCTGGTACAAAGATGAAACCTTTAGATTAATAATTTGGGAAAAAAATAATAACAATAATTTGGGAAAGCAATTATGGGAATCTATATAAACCCATGTTTCCTAAAAAGCACCCAAAAGCCTTACTATACTTGTGTATAAAATATACCAAAATAAACTGAAGCAAAGTCATTCCAATAACGATGACTAAACTGTCTTTAAAAAATCAAATTGTTCATTAAAGAGCTCAAAGGGAAAAAATAGTATTGATTAGTTTAGATTTTTATCTTTACTCCTAGCTTCTAAACATTCTCTGTGGAGAGGCAAAAAAAAAAAAAAAGAAGGCAGGAAGATACCTGGCTATCCAATAGCTGGATCGTAATCAGCCTCTGAATTCTGACCTGATGACCATTAGGAATATCTGAGAGACAATGCAGATGAATGGAATAAAACATAATCCCAAAGAATTTCCAGAATAGTTTCAGTCTCTTCTACTAAATCGTTTTCCAGAGCTACTAACAATTAGAAAATGATTCATTTGCTTTTCATCTTTTCTCCCTTTTGGCACAGTGTCCTATGGAGGGCTTGATGAGAAGTTAAATGACCACAAGATAGGCAGCAGAAAGAAGATCTTGAAATGGGCATCAAATGGGCCTGTTTTACTTGATGAAGGCAAAGAAATATCTAACATTTCAGAATATTTGCCAGGAATGGAGATTATGAAGGTAACAATGTAAAAAGTTTTCCTTTACAGTGACTTTCCTTACTAAACATCATTTTTAAACAGTGTATACAACCAAGCACAAACAACTATAAAGTTCAAAGAAAGGTTTCTGGCCCTGTAAAATCCATTCACTTGAAAATGGTTCATATGAAAAGATCTTATCTTTGATGCAAATAAAATTCTTGTGGAAACAACACTAACCATCCCCCCAAGATATAAAACAGCACTGAAAATTCACCTATGTTTAAGCTTCAAAGGTTATTGCAACTCATGTATAAACTCTGACAGTGTACTGTTAGCAGATAACTAAGTTAAGGAAAACATATACTGAAGAATTTATAGAAGTCTTAAAAGAATTTACACATTTTCTAAAGTAGCAAACCTGAAGAATGCACAATTCAGTAAATTAACAACTTTAAAAACAACATACGAACCCCTAAATGCCACTCTTCTCACCACTGCAGAATTGCAATTACAGACTTAATGGCTATAATGAACTAATTTAACACAAACATTTCTGGTTTATCATTTCTGCTGCAGACTAAAAATTCCCCAGGGCGAAAGACATACTCCTATATAACCTGTACACTGCAATATAAACCTTCAACCCTATAACTACTGCCATCCCAGAGTTTCCAGGTAGCCCTTTAAAATGCTTTTCCGCCAACTGTGGTGGCAAGAGCAAGTCCCCATCTCTAATAAAAATAGAAAAATTAGCCAGGTATCGTGCAGCATGCCTGTAGTCCCAACTAACTATTCAGGAGGCTGAGGCAGAAGGATGGCTTGAACCCAGGAGTTTGAGTTTGCTGTGAGCTATGACACCACTGCACTTTACCCAGGGCACCAGAGCAAGACTCTGTCTCAAAAATAAAGAAATAATTTTTAAAAATATTTATAAATAAATATTTTATTTTTTATTATTTACTTTTATTATTTTATTTTATCATTTTATTATTTATATTATTATTTTATTGTTTTATTATTTATTTTTATTATTTATAAATTATCTATTTTATTATTTATTTATAAATAAAATTTTTAAAATATTTATAAATAAATAATTTTTAAAAATAAAATGAAATGCTTTTCTACTGAAACCTTTGGTCTGGCATTCAGAAAAGAAGACTCAATAAATTTCCTCCACCTACATTTATCTTCAAAATCGCCTTTATACTGAGTTTCTCTCTTTTTGAAACGTGGGAGTTTGAAAGTGAAATATCCTTTTATAGTAACTAGTTCAGTGACATCTAAAGGAGTCTTTTGGGCTAACATCCACATACAGGCCAGCACAGGTAGCCAGGCATACAAGGATAATGTGAGTATAGTGTTTAATTTCCCTTAACAATACCATTACAGAAATGGATTTTTTCCTAAAAGTAATTCTTTTGTCTCTCCTCTCTCAATCACGTGGTCTAGAAGAAAAGAAGCTACAGCTTGAAAGTGATCTTAACACTAAAGAGTTGACTGACAACTCTTTAGTGACTGACAACAGTTGACTGACAACTCTTTAGTGTAACAAAATTCCCCTTAAAATCATATAATACTAAAATGTTATAATCTTTAGTATTATAAAAGTCCTCAAAATAATAAAATTCCTCCTACCCTCAGTCTCCACAACATAAAACCTGATAATATCACCTTCTCAGAAGTAATTACACCATTTAGGCACAGCACAAAGGCAAAAACTGGCCCACAGGGTAACAGATCAGGACAAGGAAAGAGAAGGAAGGGGGCAGTGCTTGTATCCCAATTTTCAATTCTGCTCTGTTACTAATTATGAGACCCTGAGAAAATCATCCTTTATACCCAGCTTCTGCTTTGGGGAAATGGAGAAAATAAGTGAGATTATTAATATAAAATCATCTGTAAACTTGCAAGTATTATACAAATGTGAAAATAGGAGTGGCAGTAGCATAAACAAAATTTTTGTGGTACTTTGAGAATACTGAGTGTGTAAACACAAGTAATTTAGAGCATCGGCAGGGAGACAGGGCAAACATGGAAAAGCAGCCCTCTTAATTAGCTTCCAATCACCCCAGAGTTCCAGAAGGGAGAACTCTATCCAGGTAAAGGGGTGTGTCCAGCTTTTACAGAGCCCACCAGACATCTGAGCTCTTAATCTCAGAAGGAACTTCTTTAAAGCATGACTCAGGATTATCTCCAAGTTAAAGCTGAATCCAAATAAATACAAGTATTACACTTTAAATTGTAGCAATGCTTTGGTTAAATGATTTATGAAAATCCAAATTACAAAACTTTGGAATGGCATCTATGACTATCCTGACCACCCATCCTTCATATCTAAGGCATTACACAAAATCTAGTATCAGTAATGACTGATGCTCTAGATTACCTGTTTACACGCTCTGGTTTCTCAACGTCTGACTGATGGTCATCGCTGATACTAGAGAGAATTCTCTCAACTACTAACCCTGATGACAAAAACATTATTTTCCTTTTCCTAGCTACACATTTGTTCATCTGAAAACATCTCAACCTTGGGCTCAGGCCTGTGCTAAATGCTGTTCCAAAGCTTCTTTCCTATCCCAGGATGATTCAAGTACTAGGGCATTTGTGACAGCGAAAAAATGAACACGCCAAAGGGATATGGAAGGGATACTCAGGCTACCCCAAACATTCTTAGCCAAACCAGGTCATCCTGGGTCACTTTGCCACCCAAATCTCTTCTATCACAAAGACCTAAAATTGAATTTATCAACGTGTTCTAAAACTGGTATACTTAAACAGAAACATAACTTCAGCAGAATATCCCAACAGGATCTCTGTCACGTTTCATTTCCCCATCCCACCCCTCGACACAGCTTGCACCAGTCAGCCCAGCAGGTGCTGCAGGGGCTCCCCATTACCACAGCCATTTATCACCGCTGACATCAAGCATTAAAAATGCCACGACATACACAAATCTAAGCATAAAGAACTCAGCTGCAATCTGAGAGCGTCTCTTCAAAGCAGAAAAATCCCAAAGGCAGCCCTGCCTTACGCTTTAAACTAGGGCAATTGGTGGCTAATAAGCACCACCCCCAAAAACAATCATTTTCGAGCAAACCCCGAGAGTCCCCGTTCCGGCCGCGCTTCGCCGCTGCCCCGCACGCGAAGCCCCCAGCCCGAGCCGGCCCGGCGCAGAGCGGGCGATGCTCCGGAACCCGGGCCCGCCGAAACCGCGCGCCGCCGGGCGGGCCCCGGAGCCCCCACCCAGGCCTGGCCGCGGGCACGCCGCCGCGGGCTCGTGCCAGCCCGGACTCGCGCCCCGGGCCCCCCGCGGTCCCCTCAGCGCGGTCCCCTCAGCGCGCCCACGCCCTGACCCTCCTCAGCCCCTCTGCCCGGCCGCTCGGCGCGGGCTCCTCCTCACGCCGGCCCTCCCGAGCCCCGGCCCCGCAAGCCCCGCGCCCGCCCCACTCACTGCGCGGCGGCGGCGGCCGGGCCGGGAGATGCCGGCGGCCGCAGAGCGCGAGCACGGGGACAAGCGAGCCCGCGCCCGGCGGTGGCGGCGGCGGCAGAGGGGACGACTCAGTACGCGCCCGGAGTTGCGGCTCCAGCAGCCCGGCGCGGGCGGCGCCTTCCCAGCAGACCCGCGGCGCCACGAGCGCGGGCGCCCCCTGACGGCGGCGCGGGCGGGAGGCCAGAGGGCCTGAAGCCGGAGGCGCTGCACCAGCGAAGCCTGAGCCTGCGGCCAGGCCGGCGCCACCGCAGCCCCGAGCCCGAGGCCCCGCCCCCGCGCCCCGCCCCCCGCAGCCTGGGGTCCGCCCTGCCAGGGCCGGCCGCTCGCAGTCCTCGGCACGCGTGTGTGCGCGGCTCCGTCTCCCCGTCATTCCCGGACGCGTGTGGGCCCCGCCGTGTGCCGGGCCTGCGGGGTGCAGCGGCCGCCAGGACGGAGGCGGGTCCTGTTGAGAGGAAAAGACACACAAGCCTCAAAGAAGCACTAACGGGCAAATTAACGACAAGTTATGATCATAAGTGTTGGCAGGGGCATGATTACAGGCCTTAAATGGAGAAGGGAAGGAGACAGGGCCGCCGGGCTGGGGCCAGAGCCCCCCTCGGCCTTGCCCTCTGCTGGGGAATGCTCCAGTAAGGGCTGTGAGGACGCCCCGGGGCCCCTCCCCGGCCTGGCGGGAGCTAGGCCCGAAGGCCCGAAGGCCCGCAGCGTGGGCAGCCAGGTGGGGAGAAGGACAGAGGTGACTTCAGCGGACAAAATGACCTGTGCAAAGGCTTTGAGGCCTGAAGGAGCTCGGCCCTAGATGAGACTGGCACAGGTATTGTCCCCACTTCACTATGAAGAAGCCAAGGCTGCAGAGAGTGGGCGGTTACCTGAAGCCTCCATGGGTAGAGCAAATCCCATTCACTTCCTGCTGGCCTGAGCACTGTCCCCTTCCAGGTGGAACCAGTTACATGACTTTTGTTTTGCCATTTTCCTTCTCCACCGGAATTACCACTGGCCTTAGAAACTCGCTTGAGTTTCATGTCTGCATATGTGTGAGTTGGCTCTGAGGTGGAACTTATATCAGCATGATCGTCACAGTCATATTTGGTTTTTCTCCAAAAACTCAAATTGATAGGTTAAATAAATGGCATATGTTTCATCAACATAACTGAGTGCTACATTATCATATTCACAAAGGTGAGAATACAGGGAAATGTGTGTGAAAATAATCAGTAAACGAAATAGTATACATGCTGCAATCCTCATTTATTTTCAAGAACATAAATATGCATGACAAAGATTTTGAAGGACAACACCAAACCATCAGTGATAGCGTTCCAGATAATAGGATGGGAATGTTAATGACTTATTACATCTTATTTTATTTTATTTTTGAGACAGTCTCACTCTGTCACCCAGGCTAGAGTCCCCTGGCGTCAGCCTAGCTCACAGCAACCTCAAACTCCTGGGCTCAAGCAATCCTACTGCCTCAGCCTCCGGAATAGCTGGGACTACAGGCATGCGCCACCATGCCCGGCTAATTGCTTCTATATATTTTTAGTTGGCCAATTAATTTGTTGCTATTTTTAGTAGAGGCAGGGTCTTGCTCTTGCTCAGGCTGGTCTGGAACTCCTGACCTTGAGCAATCCACCTGCCTCAGCCTCCCAGAGTGCTAGGATTATAGGTGTGAACCACCACACCCAGCCCAACTTATTACATCTTAATGTTAGGAGTTTTCCATATTTTCTATAACACATAAGTATTAATTTTATAATCAGAAAAATACAATGATTCTTATTTTTTGCAAGAAGACAATACCAAAATTACCCAACACTCAGATGTACAGAATTTGGTGCCACTGAAAATCCAGAATTGCCTCTGACTTACTGGTGTCTTTCAAAGAGTCATTTCCCCTCTCAGGGTTTCTAGTTCCCCAAATAAAAACTGACAGCGATTAACTTTATCAGTAGTTTTAAATCTATTCCTTCATATCTCAAAGTTTTTGTAACTACTGGAAATTATATTTTCAAATTTATATTTTATAATGATAGATGGTTATTGAAATACAGTTGGTTTTTATATAATAATATTGTATTTAGCAAACTTGATGAACTCTTTTTTAGTTCTAATAAGTTTGTAGGTTCTCCTGAATTTGCTCTGTGAACAATCATAGAGTCTGCGAGTCATGACAGTTTGGTATCTTCCTGTCCAGTCTTTATCTCCTTTTCCTTGTTGTACTATGCTGACTAAATTCTCCTGCATAATGTTGACTAGCAGTTATGGTAGTGGGCATTTCTAGCTAGTTCTTGATTGCTTCTAATGCAT